CCCCCCTTCCTCTTTCTCCATGGTATCTAAGCATATTGCTGTGGAAGCCGAGGCCACACTGTCCCTCACCGGCCCAGGAGGTGGGACGTGGGACGTGAGGACACTGGGAGTCGGTTGTGTAGCCGAGACGCATCCAAGATGGGATATGAAAAACTATTAAATGATCCATCTCATTGGATTCAGGAGCACACGAGGTGGGACGCGGACAGTTGACAATTATGGGGCCGAGACACAAGATGGATATGAAATTCATCGTCTTCATGTAATTCATTTATGCAGAATCACTTTAAATTGCCCAATAACAACTCAAAAGCGCGTGTGTGTCTATCTACCGGTGCCCAGGATGTATTTGCGGTGAGTCGGTGACAATATAATAAAGTACGGAGAGTGCCCGTCCCACCCGTTGCGCACAGCACGACGCCTCGCTCGAGCACCTTGATTGCTGGCGTCACTCCCGGTGCCTTTCGGCTTGGTCATCGGCCGCGTCTCCGGAAGCGTCGGAAAAAGGGGGCCACGGAAAGTTGAACGTCGCCAAGGGCGCAAAGCAGACTTTGTCACCGGGGAGGGGAGGGGAGGGGAGGGGGAGGCGTACCCGAGCACACCCGTCGCTGGACAGGACACGGGCACACGGAACGGGGACCGCCAGCCCTGCGCAGCGGTCCATGTCGCAAAGTCTCGTCACACGAACGGGCAGCCCTGCGCCGCGGGGAGGGCTGCGTGGCCCCGTGCTCAGAGGACAAATTCAAAGTCACACACGCGCGTCTGCGGCCGCAAGCCCCCAAGGGGACGTACCGAGGATCACGAGCATCTCAGGCCCGCCCGCATGCGGGCTTTGCTCTGCTGGACCGCGGCAGCCCGCGTCCGCTCTCGAGCACATGTATTTTCCATTCCACGCATCTCCTTCGGCCTCGTGCCGTGCGGGCCGGAAGACGGCATCCGGACCTGGATCCTCGGTCCGGGCCGCCGTCGACTGGAGGGACGGAGCGTCGGGGGCGGCGGGTGAAGTGGGGCGCTGATCGGCCTAGCGCGGCCGCAACCACCGGCCTAGCGTGCTGAGGAGCCCGGGGCTCCGGAGCCGGCAAGGACGACCGGGACGTGCGTACCTGACGCACGCGCCTGCGCCGATGACGTCAAGTTCGCACTGACGTGGGCCAGTAGGCATAGCCTACAGCCTCACCTTGTGCCGTCGATCGGTCGTGTTTTTTTATTTTCGCGAGGGTGCTGCGCTTTTCCTCGGGGTTGAAGCCCAGCCGTTTGGGAGCCAGCCGCCACAGGCTTCGAGTAGGTCCTGCCGTCGGCTCGTCGGCTCCGTCCTCTACAACTCGCCCAGCTTGTGCCGCCTCACGGAACTTGACGATTAGACGTGCTGCCGTTGGCACGGTGCCTGGCCGGCGATCCATTGCGGGCGACGAATGTCTGGAGGCGAACTACGGGTGCAAATGCTCCCACTTGTGGCGCAACTGTGGTGTTCTCGTCGCTTTCCTGTGGCTTCCATGTCACCTACATGATCGCTCCCGTGCTCAACGAGGGGGGACCTTCCAAGGCGCAAGCCCTGGTCTTTCGCCCCGGACATGCCCCAAAGCGTCCCTGTCATGGCAATCTTGAGGAAGCAGAAAAGGTCCCGAGGTCGGCTTCCCCGACACCCAGTGCCCGGTGCTCCTCCTTGTCGTCCAGTTCTACATGAACGTCCTCTGTACGGCGACGTTGTACTGCCTGTTCCGGATGAGGCCGTGGAAACGTCGCAACGTAGCTGGCCGTAGAGAGATTCCTTGAAATACCAGACATTTTGACGTTTATCATTCATGTACTCTGCAGTCTATGTGTATACTAGCATCTGCATCTGGCTGGCTGGGGTTGGCGGGAACAGGAAGGGAGAAGAAAAGGATAAAACACTGGCGATGGAATGCATCATTTCATCATAAGAGCGCTTTAGTCGCCTTGAAAGACACATCGGCCGCGACAGCTTCTTGGCATATTCATCCATCATGGTCCTCGATGTTTAGGCGCCCGTCCTTTCCGAGACCTGCACCCACATGTCTGTTATCTGAAGCAACCCGAGGCAGTTCTGTACTGTCCAGGGCTGGGTCGGGTGAACTACCGCCATGTCAAAGTTGCGAAACATCTGTTGATGATGGAAAGGAGAGACCTCGACGTTAGCCCGGCATGTCCCTCCCCTCTTGTCGCATTCACGCAACACGTCGGCAGAGCATTTCCACTCACCTCGAATATCGACTTTCCAAGCTCAAGCTGGGCGACCTTCTTCCCCAGGCACTGGAATTTGCCATGCCCAAAGATGAGCTCGTTGGTGGCCGTCATGGCACGCAACTTGGCCTCGTCCGCCTCGAACCAACGCTCTGGGCGGAAAGCGTCGGCGTCATCCCCGTAGATTTCCTTGTCGTGATGCATGGCGTATGCTGAGTAGCCAATGGACACACCGCCAGGAAGGAAGACCTTTGTTCCGTCACGTCTGCCGATGGTCACCATGTCCCCGGCCGCCGGGACGTCGCGAGAAAAGATGTTGGTGACGGGGGGGTGAACGCGCAGGGCTTCCCGGATGACGGCCTGCAGGTATGGAAGCTGCTTCGCTTGTGCGGCAGAGATGAGACCGTCTCCCTGCGCGGGCGCCCGACGATGATGCACGGCGTCGTCAATCTCACGCTGCAGCTTGGCGTAGACGCGCGGGTTGGTCATGACGTGAAGCAGCGTCGCCCGAATCGCCGTGGCTGTGGTGTCGGACCCGGCGATGATCTGCTCCAGAGCCTCGGTCCTCAGCTCGTCGCCAGACAGGCCGTGGCGGATAAACGACGCGAGCATGTCGGACCGCTTGTCCGTCGGGTTGGAGGCGCGTTGATCAACGTACCGGAAACAGGTGGCCATCATTTTGCCAAACCCGCTGTTGTCGTTGGGCGAAGGGGCGATGAATTTCCCAATCAGGGGCGAGTGGGCAAGCCAGCTGAATCCCGTGGCCAAGGCAGTGTTGCTGATAGCGAGACCTTGGGCGCTAGACTTGAGATAGTCGTCGACGTCCTGGTCGGCTTCCAACATGCCGAAGGCTGTGCCGAGCCCGACCTTGCTGATGACGTCGAGGGTGAAGAACTGGACCCTTGTGGCCAGGTCCATGTGCGGTGCGTTTTCGGCGGAGTGGGAGACATATTTACTACGGATCAGACGTATGAGCTGAGCGAGGCATTCGTCTATAGAGGCCTCGAGATGGAGGTTCTCCGTGCCAGAGTACTGTACGGAGGCCGTCACGTCAGCGGGGGGGGGGGGGGGGGGGTTCACGAATCGACATACGCCTGGGGCCATTTGCTTTCTCCTTCGGTCATGCTTTTCGTTGTCGGTCTCACTAAAGACATTGTCGCGACGGTACTCGATGCGACATGCGTTGTAGTACCACGGCGAGCGTCGGTATCCCGGCGTGTTGTTGACGTGGGCCCAGACCTGGGGAGACGACGTGATGAGAACATTGGGAGCTACTCTTGCAATAGGGCCTGAAGAAAATCTCGCCGAGCATCAGGGTCAACAGTTGCGGACAGACAGCGCATCTCGCATCTTGGGGGGGGGGAGGCATCTGGTGCTGCCACTGACCGTATTTCCTGCTCACATCCGCATACCACTTGTGGCATTCGCCACGAAGCATGGCGCGGCTGTGAGGAATATTGCTGATTCCGGTGCATGGCGGGCCGGGAAATCTTCTCAGCTTGACGAAATGCCACGTCAGTTTCACCATGTACAGGCCGACGAGGCCAAGCGCCAGCAAGGCAAGCTCCATCGCGACAAGGCCAGCAGAGCTCAGAGCTCAGACAGACGTGTCGAGAACAAGAGCGTGGCTCGTTGGCAGCAAGCCATCCTCTTCACCTGGTCAAGTTTTGGAACTTGTGGCCGTGGTGGCATGGCGTCGGGACCCAAGTTGCAACGGCGGCCCGGTGGCGTTGAAATGGGCATCCTGACCCAACCACGACCACAACCAACGGCTTGGCCGCCGTACCGAGATGGATGCCACATAACGTTATGTTGCCTCTGGCAGCCGGAACTGATGATGCCCACGGACTGCGGAATGCCGCCATTCAAGCCGCACAAAGCGACCACCGGTGGGTCCCACCTTCCTAAGGTGGTCCAACACACACAAAAGTGTGACGTGGGCCACGTCCATTTTTTAGCGTGACCGCCCGCCTTCCCACCCCCAGCCAGTGATCGACCTGCCATGCGCACCACGACTAGGGCCTTTTTCTATTGGGCTAACCGAGCATGCTTCCTTGCTTCGCACATCCCGTCGACACATGTCGGCCCCCCCTGGTGGGCCGTGATTGGCCGTTGTCGTTTTCGTGGCGTCTGGGAGGCGGTTCTCGGAATCTTGACCCACGGATCGTGGTCCGACATTGTCCATTTGCCAATTCATGATTTGTGCACTCATGTGCATCCTTGACCCGCGCAGGACGCCACGGAACCCCTAGCTTGGGCACCTCCCACCTCGAGAGCCGCTTGGAATAGCACACAGGTTGGCCGCATGTGCCGGTGGGGAGCTGGTTGTATCCGGATAATATACTCCGTAATACCATGAACAACTTCAAGTGACACAAATCCCCATCGACGTTCGTCCGGGAGCACTTGAGCCCTCTTCTCGTCCTTGCACCACCACTCTTCGCCCTTGGGCCTTGGCAAGCAACACGTCTCGACGTCGAACGCCTCTTCACGACCGGGTTCAAATGCGCACTCCCACGCCATGTCCTAATATCATGCGCTTCTCGGAAGCCTCGGAGCAAGACCCTCGCTCTGCGCCGACATGGTAGATCAGGAAGCGATCAACATCATGTCCAGCCCCAAGACGCTCGACAAGCCGAAGCAGTCTCCGTCTCCGTCTCCGTCTCCGTCTCAGTCTCCGTCTCAGTCTCCGTCTCCCTCGCCCAAGCCGCCGCCCTCCCCTCTCGACGACTCTGCCCCGGCCGCACCTATTGATGAGTACTCCACGAATACGCAAATCCCATTCGTACGAAGTCTTTCCTGCCGGTGCAGCCTCCCCCTCAAAATGTCCCAAAGAGCTGACTCCTCATCAATTTCCGCAGAGATGGACCGACGACGATGCCGACTCGGCTTTGGGCGACGAGGCCAGGTATGAAAACAGTCCGTCATGCTACTGATGCGCGTGTTCCTGTTCTGACCGAAACTCTCCTTCCCCCGGGTCGAAACAAATCAACAGTGTTCTTTCTTCGACTGTTTCCTTGAGTGAGAGCATCTTCAACTACCGCAGCCTCCATGGCCGCACGTACCAAAACTCCAACACCACCGAGTACTGGGGTCCAAATGACGACGAACAGAACCTGGGGCTCGACATTGCCCACCAGTTCATCACCATGCTCCTAAACGACCGGCTCTTCGAGGCCCCGATCCCCGAGAGGCCGGCCAAGATCCTCGACGTCGGCACCGGGACGGGCATCTGGGCCATCGACATGGCCGACGCCTACCCGTCCTGCGAAATCATCGGCACCGACATCAGCCCCATCCAGCCTCTCTGGGTGCCCCAGAACCTCAGCTTCGAGATCGAGGACGCCCAGCTCGACTGGACCTTTGGCCCCGCCACGTTTGACTTTATCCACATGCGCGCCCTGTACGGGAGCATCAGCGACTGGCGGCGGCTCTATCGCCAGGCGTACACGGCCCTCAAGCCCGGTGGCTGGCTGGAAAACTTTGAATTCACAATAAACCTGCGCAGCGACCTGCCCGAGATCAGGGACGACCCCGACCACATCTTCAAGCGGTGGAGCACCGTCTTCATGGAGGCCAGCGACCGCATGGGCAAGAGTCTGCGCATCGGCATGAACGGCCGCATGACGAGGTACATGCGGGAGGCGGGTTTCGAGCACATTGCCCACAAGCACTACCAGGTGCCCGTGGGCGCATGGAGCACCGACTACACCTACAAGCAGATTGGCCTGTACAACCTGACCTTTATGGAGAACAGCCTGGAAGGCTTCGCGCTGTACCTCTTGAGAGAGGTCATGGGCTGGGAGTACGCGCGCGTCCAGGTCTTCCTGGCCGAGATGAGAAGTGCGCTGCGGAATGCCAAGAATCGGCCCTACTATCTTGTGTGAGCATGCGTGCCCGCTCTCCCTCCTGGACTTGGCTCAAGTCCACGACCAAGCCCGGATGCTAATTGATGCGCCTGCTCACAGGACAAACGTGTTTGGCCAGAAGCCGGGGATTTGTTCGAAATAGAGGCGGCTCATCATGTACTTGCGATACCCCAACCATGTAACCACCAGCAGTGTGTTTAGGCGTTTCACCCTGTCGAGACGAGACAAAGGGTAAAAAAGCCGTCATTTTCTCGTTGATTGTGCCTTTATTTCCAGGCACATCTATTCCGTGCCGCTGTCTTCCTTTCGGAGCTCGTAACCAAATGATCCACCTGAGCGCGCGAAGCAAAAAAAGCAGCACGATAAGAGTTTGTCTTGGTGCGTGCGTTGGTGCGTCTGTAGACGTAGATTTCTCCGCAGAAGCCACGCCGTCGCCGGCAGCTGCAAGGGGTTTCCCACGTGCCGCAAAACGCCAACCGCCAACCGCCAACCGCCAACCGCCAACCGCCACCCGCCATGTCTCTTCTCGCCTCTTCCTCGCCTCGCATCGTCTCGCAGCGCGACCGACGGGTTCGCCTCGCCTCGCCCCCCCGCCGCCGGAAGCACGCGTGGCGACTTCCCCCCTCCTCGGCATGAACTTCTTCAGATCCCGCCCGGACACAGGCTGGATCCCCGTCGGCGCGGCATCGTCATTCCCCAACCTGGGCCCCGACGCACCCAGCCTGATCCAGCAGCGGCCCTGCCATGACGCCCGTCCCGCGCCGGCGCCCGGATGCAAGGTTTTCCACGTCCCCCGAGACCACCAGCCCTCCCGGGCGTCCGAGATACACGTCTCCCGCGAGGGTCTGCCGTCTCCTGCTACGGGAGACGAGCTTGTAGACCAAGTGCTGGTGTTCCGGTACCGAGGGAAATTCCACGCAGTGGACCATGTGAGTTTCTGGTGCGAACGCCTTTTGTGTGTGTCACTGTGTGTGTGTCTTGCAACAGCCCAGATGCCGCTGGCTAATACAAGGGGGCCAAAACGGCAGTGCTGTCCGCATCAGTCCTATCCTCTGTCGAATGGGAGCCCGTTCGACATTGAGGACTTTGGAGTCGTTCTTAGTGCCGGGCTGGCTTGTCCGAAACATGGCTGGTCGTTTGACCTTTTTACTGGCACGGCGGACCGGGCAGCGTACAAACTAGCTGTTTGGGAAGTTCAACTACGCGACAAGGACGGGGTTCAAGTTGTTGATAGCAAAGGGGATGGCGACGTGGGCGCTCGGGATGAGACTGTATGGGTGAGACGGAAGCCGCGAGTGGGCTGAGCCGGCCGCTACGAAACATGACGCTCAACTCGTCTCATTGAACACACAATGTTCAGAGGTGTCTTGGTGGCTATTCAACGGGCTGTTTCATCGAGTGTCAATGTCCCACATCGGCGCTGCGTCTGCCACCGACTGGAGTCCATGCTCTGTTCAGGGACGGAACAAAGCCATTGTCATCGAAAAGGCATGGTTTGCTGTGCAAAGTCCTGATTTCTGCTTGGTGGGAATCCATACGGGCTCTTTCGCATCAAAGCCGTGGTCCCGGCGAGGTTCGGTAAAGGAAATTAGGCATCTGAAACCCGTGCTGCTGATGAGCCGCATGAGTTCGGAGGAGTTAAAGGGCGGCAGGGGTGTCAGGCGCCGGCTCGCCGTGACCATGATTATTTCATCTGGAGGAACCACTGATCAGCTGAGGCTGCCGCAATAGCTGGACGTGACCAATCGAGAATACTCTTGTTCAGACGTGCCGATTTCCTCCCACAGCCAAGCGGTTGATGGCCCGTAGTATGTGAGAAATGACAAATGCACACAACTGCCAAGGCCGCCGACTACAATCAAGGCTGATAGGTTTACCAGAGATAGACGGTTCATCAATATGAGTGCAGACAAAGACAATGCATGAAAACATATCCAATGCGACTGTCGTCACAAAGAACTTACCAGCTCGAACAATGACGCGACCGCGGTCCATCAACACCTAATTCGCTTGGACTCGCGCATCACTGCGATGTCCCAGGGCGAGTGATGTTCAAAACCGAAACATCGAAAAAGTCGAAAGCGCACAGACAAAGCTCCCTAGCGAGAGCTCCAGGTAAAGAATCGAGGACAGTTGTACAATGTCACTTGCATCAGGTCATCACCGCATCATGGTAGCCGCACGAGGGGCCCTCGTGATGATGGTTTTAAGCAAGGTTAAAAGGTTTCTTCTCGACCACAGCTCGAGACCGTCAGCAGGCGTCGGGTGTGACCAAAAGTCAGGGCCAACTGCGAATTGCTTGAGAGGAAAGGTCTTGGATATGTAGAGAAGGAAAAAGACAAGAGAAAAACCCAGAGTGCAAGTTCCCCACCTAGTCGGGGTTCGTTCGAGACGCGGGCCTCGACGGCATCACGTGACGCTTCGCACATCGCTGACCAATGGGACGAGCCCAAAGTGGAGGCTTCGTGGAGCCTACCCACTGCCCACCGGCTGCATCACCATCACAACACTTCCGCTTCCTCTTCATCGTCTCGAAGTTGCCCTCGGCCCAAACAGCAAGTTCGTCCTCGCAGCGCCGCGCCCGCGTCCCCCCCTCCCCCTGGGCCTTTTCCACCCGACACAGCCATGTCCGACGACTCGCCGCACAAACGGAAACGCTCGCCAGGCGATACCGGCGACTGCGACCGCGACCCAAAAAAGATGAATCTCGGGGATAGCCGGTCGGGTATAGAGGACCTGCACCTGGACGTGGGAGAGAAATACCTTCTTTGCAGAACGCGTACGTCCCCCAGCCCACCCTTTCCCGCTCCTCCAGACGAGAAAAGAGAAACCTTGTCGTCCCGAATCTTGTCTCCAGAAAAAGGCCAAAAAAAAGAGGGAGCTTCTGTTGACGAAGTAAATCCTCATGTCAGCGCACCCCGAGCCTCGGACAAGGATATCCCAAGACCTGTACGAGATGTGCGGCCTCACCAGCCTCGCCGCCGAGGTAGCGCGAGAGAAGCCAAACGGGGAGAAGAACGCGCTGCGGAAAACGTACAAGGGCCACATCAAGCGGCTAGGAGTGGCCGGCCACTTCGACGTACAGAAGAAGAAGGAGGACGCGCCGTCAGAGTTCATGGCCATCCTCCAGGTGCCGGAGCTGGAGTGGAACGTCCATCAGGTCAAGGGCCGCGAAATCTCCGACGGGCTCTCGGCGACGACGCTCTCGAACCTCGGTCGCGCCATGAACATGTCCAAGGGGCCCATTCCGAAGGCGGTTTGGGACTCGTCGGTATTGGGGGACCTGGCACCGTCCGGCGGCGGCGGCAACGCGTCAAAGCCGATCTCAGCGAAGCCCTCGGCCCCGGGCACACCGCTGGTATCGACGCCCAATACCCTGGCCCGGCCCAAGCCCCCGATCCTTGCTGGGCACGATCCCAACCGACCGCGGAGGAACGTCAAGAAGCGCTCATACGGCGATAGCAGCTTTGAGGGCTACGGCGAAGGGTACCCCGACGACGACGGCGGCATGGACACCGGTTACTCTACGGGAGAAGGTGAGGGCAGCCAAAAACGTCGGAAAAAAGTAGGTTATGACAGCACAAATGGCAACGAGTCACTATCGTCTGACATGGCCTTGAAGAACACGGCAGCTTCGCCGCCTAATGCACTCATGCGACAACAGAGCTACGGCCCGGGCATGGTCGGCGCTTAAGAGCCATTAATGTACACTTGTATATATTATGCTAAACCATAAGGGACACAAGTTTTCTTTTTACCCACGGCCCAATATACTTAGGAGAGATCCAAGAGGAAAAACGAAAAGAAAAACAAAACAAAACAATGCTATGCCTGGTTGTCCTTCAACCACGTCGTTACACATATCTCGTTCAAAATACTGCGTCCTAAACGCATGAGTCGCCATAACGGCCAAAAATGCTCATGCTGGAAACACAAAAGGACGGGATGACAAGGGCACCTCAACACCTCGGAGGACAATTCCATGCACTATTGGCCAGGTGGTCGACAAGTCTGCTTATTCGCTACCATAATTCCCATTCTCGACTGACGGGTAAGCACCGCCGCTCATTTCCGCCCAGCTCCAATCCAACGTCGCTGGAAGACCAAACAAGTCTTGGGGGAGAAGGGGCTGCGAAAATGGCCGAGCTGTCAGTGGTATGGGCAGTGGAGATGCGTCAATGGCGCCAAAGGCATTCATGTTGTTGTATGAGTCAAAGTCGCCATTTTGAGGAAGTTGCAAGCTTTGAGGCCAACCCGCCGAGGCACCAGAAGGAGACCGACCATTCATCGACATGACAATAGGAGGATCAAACGACCCTCTTCTGTCTTCTGGACTGCTTGATGTGAGAGTCGCCAGCACATCTCTGGAGGCTGAAGAAGGGGAAGGGTTGTGTGGCGCTGGTGTTGGGGTCGTTGCGGCGGCAGGCCTGGGCGTCTCTGAGGTTGCTGCGTCGCTCGACGTAGTCTGTGCTGCCGCAGGTGGCTTGCTGGAAGAATTTGTTGCGGTATTAGGTTTCGATCCAGCGTCTACGTTCTTGCGCTTTCGCCTAGAAGTCTGCTCCTTTTCCGCCCTGTCGATGACCACTTTGGAAATTCTCACGAATTCGGAACATATGCCCAGCATCCGGTGCACACCGCCCTGCTCAGCCTCTTGGCCCAACATCGACAAGAAGGTAACGACGAGGTCCATTAATCGCGTGTCGGACTTGGCACGAGGGTCGAGGGGGTTTTGGAGAATATTGCTAAACAATGTCATGAGTGCTGATACGGGAAAATAGAGGATGAGCCTAGTCATGTATTGTTAACCTTTGTGTCTATCCCGTCACTCACAAACAGTGAGGCTTACCAGACGCATGAAAAGTCACCTTGAGGGACGTATTTCAGTAGAGAGATGGAGGCTCGAGCGGCTGCTGTGCACAGCTGAGCGGAAGAGAACACCCTTGGATTGAGGGGCCTCGAATTCAAGCCTTGGATGGCATAGTTTGACAATCTGCTTGTCCAATATCCGTGACGAATAGACATGCGATGAATGGTTGTCAAACAATTGTAGTATGTGAAATGAAGCATTACAATGTGCAATATCAATGGCGTGTGGGATGCTTTGATTTCATGTTCTGGCCGAAAATCCACGGGAATCCCATCTTTCCATTCTTCCAATTCCCGGTCCAGTTCACCGATGGTATTCAAAAGCTCTCCATCGGATTGTTTTGTTGCCTTTGTCGAGTACAGACGCTTGTAGACATTGCTTTCAATAACGGTGAATTCGCAAACGACACGAAAGAGATTCATCTTGCCCTTTCCGTCGGCCAGAGGGATGTTTCCAATGTTGTCGGCAGGGTCAGCGTCTGGTAGCTCCACATTCATATCGTCATCGTCCTGTGCTGCAGGCCGTCCAGATCGAAGGCACAGGTCCTTGTCCAGCATGTATGCAATCCAAAACACCCTCTTCCGTTGTTCAATTTCGATGGGGTTCAAATTGAAACCCGTTCCGCGTTTATGGAGCCCTATGCTGTGCGACAGTCTAACGGCGGCAGCAATCAAGAGAGAAGTTGGCTGGGGATTCGGTGTTCCTTGCATGAACAGCGCCATGCCAAGCAAGGCCTGGACACTTAGTAAATCGGTATTGCGCATGGTAAGCTCCGGAAATACGGCCATGGAATTCTTCAGATATGCCCAGGCTTTCTCATCCTCCTCCTGCGGCACCAGGTTGCTCATGACCCGTAGACGATGTGCGATGGCCAGAGCGCAATTCAGGCTGGCCCACCATCCAGAGCCCTCATACGGATCAGACGAGTACTGTCGTTCCACCAAGTGCATAAAAGTTGGTTGGTGAAACAGCGGGAACATGCAGTTGAAGTTTTCGAAATAGTCTTGCAGAAGAGACATTGCTTCGTCCTTGGGTGGCAGCGGCCTGAACACCCGTCGCTGGAACAGGTCACCAAAAACTTCAGGTTTCCAATTGGTCCATTTGTGATCATCCACTGATACCTCGGATATCATCTTGGCAAAGGAATCATCTCCGGTACGCCCATTGACCCACTGAATACCTTTTGGTGAGAAGATGGAAAAGCCCGAAGACGAGCCGATGTATCGAGTTTCGCCGGACTGATTCGTGACAAGAGAGCACATCATCTCCGAGAGAATCTCAACTTCTTCTTCTTCTTCTTGGTCGTCTCTGGCTTTCGGATCTCCGGGTGTTGTGGATTTGCGCCTCTCTTCTTTGTCTTTGTCTTTGTCTTTGTCTTTGTCTTTGGATGCGTCAGGCGATGCGAGAACACTGTGTGGTGTCGAGGCAGTGCCATCCTGTCCTGACGTCTCTTGTGAAGGGGACGTGGGACTGGTTGCAACGGTCGAGGCCTGACGTGATTTTTCCGTCAATTTCTTCTCCAGTGCGCCCAGGTCGGTGCCGCTGTCATCCTCGCTCAGCAAGCCTTTCAAATGCAGGTTGTTAGTCAACACACTTGCCAAGGCCCATTGATGTACAGAAAGGCTGACGCACCGGAAAGTCGCAACAAATGTTCCATGCGGCCAAGTCGATTCTCCAATCCCTCAATATATTTGGCTCTGCGAGGGTATATATCAGCCGATGTCCTCGTGAAGCTTGAACAAGCGCACATGACGAGGGGGACCAACCCTTTGGGTGGACTTCGCTTCTTCTCTACTTGGGTGAAGACACAGTCCGTCTTGTAGTTGATGCAATGAGTGCATGCAGGCAGCTTGCCGTCGCACTTGATCTTCTTCTTCCTACACATGTCGCAAGCCTTGAGACGCGTGCCAGATTAGCATTCGGCTCGAGCGGACTTATTGCACATGACGATTTTCCTCACCCTCGCAATTCTTCTTCTTTTGGCTTCGTTCGTGTCCTCCATGAGGAGATGGGTGTCGTGGAACATGTGCGCGGCCAGGTCGGCGGACAATTGAGGAGCATTGGACAAACCATCCGGGCCATAGCCGCCAAAAATCTGGGGCGGTTGGTTCATGATGGGCGGTGGTCCCATGCCGGGCATCTGGAAGTTTATGTGATCCATGGCAGCAGTATGAATATGCGTCTGAAGGCAGGGCTGTATCGGCAGGCTCGTTGCAAGGAGGGACGGCGTTCTCTGGGCTCGGTTTGGCGCGCACGCACGGGAGGGTGCACTCTTGGCGCGAGGCAGCGAGGCGAGCGATCGATGGCGGCGGCTTGTGCGAAATTGTGGTTGATGAGGTCCAATCTCGCGCAGCGCAAGCAACACTCGGGTCGAGCAGAGACGCAAGGCTCGACGAGACGAGACACGAAAGATGTTGCGAATGGTGGCGCAGGGCTGTTTGAGACGTTGTTGGAAGGAAGGGTGAAGATAGGGCAAGAAGACGGGGTACTCGGACCGGTCCAACGACCCCAGACGCGGGCACGGACTGGTAGTGCAAGTACGGAAGTGGCTAAGTACGAAGTAACTACGAGGTCGACACGTGGTCTGCCTAGGTCCAAGTAAGTGCCCAGTACCTGGCGCCTAGGTAACTATAAGTAGTTACTAGGTGGTTTGAGAAGACCTACCTGGATTCCAGGCTGGCAGACAGACTGCCAGACATCAACTGAACTGCTCTTAACCTACTTCTTTAGTCACTACCAGTTTCGGTTAGTTATCCCTCATGCGGGCGGTCTATGTCGAATAGAGTCTCTACTTAAGTACTCAGGAAGTAGGTACCTATCTAGATACTTACTTAACCTCCTCAGGTATATGTTCCGTCTTGGACAATTGCGCAGACGGACCCTCGACAAAAGACTTCATCCACGACTACTTCACATGCCAATCCATCCGCTCTCCTGCTACAAGAGACAATTGCCGAAACAGTCTGATGTGGCAAACCCTTCCACCGCAACAGCTTCCTTGTGCCAGGTGCCTACTTAAGTACCTACAGAACTTAAATAGCCGACACTAGCGTGGATTTCTCTGCAACATCTGCATGTAGACAAGCCCAACCAACCGCAGAGTGGCTGTGCGCTCCCACTCGCAGGCGACAGGGAGCCGGCGGACCACCAGCAACAAAGGAAACACTATTTGTCACGGCAGAAAAGTCTGATGTATGTAGAGTAGCCAAGGCCACGCGCAAGAAACGGCACCGGCTTGCCCGATTTCGTTTCTCGTCCGTCTCAGGTACGTGTGGTGTGGTGTGGCTGTGGTCTCAGACTTGCGACGTCAACGATGGCTTGTCTGTGCTTGTGCGCCCGTCATTCCGACTCATACCAGTGACCTCAGCCGTTGATATTGATAAAGGGAAAAGACGTCGACCGATCGGCAAGCTTTTTGGAAGCCCCTGCTGCAGATTACCGACTCGTGGATTCGCCAACTGGACGGGCCCATCTCTTCAAGTGACGCTCGCACCAGGGAGCAGCCGTCTTCCTGGGCAAACCTCAGCCGCGCACACGCTGCATCGTTCGTGTCAGAAGCGCTCGAGCAGTGTCATTCCTTTCATGCCGTGACCTTGACCGGCCGCCGTCACTGCCAATCCATTGGCGTTGATTGTCCTATGCACCCGGTTTGTGCTTGAGCGCGCTGCTCTGCGGCAGCTGACACGACATGACCAGGTACGTGGTCAGTTTTACCATGGTCGACTGTCTCTCCAACGCTCCGTAGCCAAGAGCACAATATCCGCGGGTACTTTCTACGAGAAGATCTGTCTCGGCATCGATACAGTGTGACAACGAAGGCACTTGTGTGTGTGAATGTGACATTTGGGGGCCACGCTTGGCAGCCAGGCTACACCAACAGAGTTCCTTCACGCGTCAGCCCGCCGGCTTCTATCGTTTAATGGCCGGCTTGGACCATGACATCATGCAGGAACTTCAAAATTCGGTCTTGGCCACGCTTTGTGATTCATAAAAGCCTTTCCCTTCGTGTTAACAACCCAGTGGGCTCATGTCCAACGCCGATAGCCATGACAGAAATGGCCCTGATTGGTTATGAGGGGTCCAACGCCCCGGTGTGCTGAGCACACGGGTATCTAAGACGCGACAAAATATATACAAGGAAGCAAGGTTTTACAGTGTTGAAAAAATTGGTGAATAAATGTGTAACTCGGCGGCTGCCTCATGATTGCTTCATATGCAAAAGCCCAGTAGGACTGCAGGATAGTCTCCTCTAGATTTTCTCTTGAAATTTTGATCCCGAGGCTTTTGGGCTTTCGCGGGAACCGAGTGTCCCCGATGGTAAACCGTCCGGTAGAGCATGCGGATCGGCGAATGGGTTCTGGGTTATGGGTAATCTCGCTGGGCCGGATCGAATGATGGGAACACCGCTGACAGGTCGCATGGGTGCTCCCAGGGCCAACTGTCCCCCGGCTGAAGATTTTGGCTCAAAGGCCTGCGAGCCTCGATGGTAGTCCGAGCTGCCGCTAGTTGCACTCCCTCTAGGGTCGGTGTATCCGTCTCCCCCGTTGCGCAACACAGAGGGGAGTTTTCTGCCCGATACCCGGTAGAATCCCCGTTCTCCGCTGTCTGCAGAATGTGAGGTTTGTGGTTCCCGGGTTCCCGACAGGCTGGCAAGAGCGGCGGCAACGGCGCCAGAAGCTGCTCTCTTATCCGTCATGGCTCGTCCTGGTCCGCTGTTGCCCGATAAGCCGGCTCCTAGGGCTCGTGATGATGTTGCCCCGGGCTGGTCGTCCAACACGGAAGAGCCTCCCTTCTTTTTCTTCCAACGGAGGAGTAGCATCAGTAGTAAACCAATAACTGCTACGCCAGCCACGGCGCCAACCACACCACCGATGACCTGCTTCTGCTGAGGCGTCAAGTTTTCTCCGCTGCCAGGGTCGGTTTCCGGCGGCCTAGTTTGCAGAGTACCGGGAGCTGTGACGGTGCCAAAGCCACTGCCCGGTGCGACGTATGGAGGGGAAGACGACGACGACGACGACGAGGAGGAGGATGCCAAGAGGGTGGAGTGGGTAGATTTCGAGTTACTGTTCGTTACGGAGGTTGTTGAAGAATTGATGATCGATATCGGTACAGAGCTAGAGAGGAATTGATGTGATGACGAACTGTTGGAAGGGGCAGTGAATAACGAGTTTCCAGATATGGTGGCTATCAGTTTCGTGTTAATAAATCCCACGTGCCGTGAATACTGCATCAGGTGGCAGTAACGGGGCGACTCACAGTTTGTTGAGTTTCGAATGTCAGCAGCGCTGGGGTAGGCGGTTTTGGTGGTGGCAGTCTCGGGCGTAGACGTGGGGGTTAGGGTCGCCGGCCATGTTGATGTGATTGAGCCGCGAGACGGTACAGTATGTTCGCCTCTGCTTGGGGCAGACCCACGAAGGGCGCTGTCTGACTGAGAGCCGCCAAAAATGGCAATAGTTTTGCCGGACTTGGAATCGACAACAACGGTGTCTGGCGCAGCAGAAACGGTTTTGGTCTCGTAGGGCGAACCACGCGGGTCAACGTACTGAACGAGCGAAATCGTCTGGCGGACATGGGTAACGAGCACGCCCTGGTCATGACTTGCTACAGCATTGACGACGACCTGTGCGGTGAGCTCGCCCGAATTGTGCTCAGCGAGAGCGCGTTCTGTGATCTCGAGGGGATTCTTAGAGTCGTCATTGGCTGCGTCGTCGGCGGAGGATTGTTGCTCGGGGTCACGCGCATGGAGCGGTCTGTGTTGAAATCGATGAAAGGGCGAACGGGCGTGGGCGTGGGCGTGGAAATGGGCACGGGAATGGGAACGAGATGGAGTCATGATAGCTGCAGAAAACTGCATCAGCGCGCAGCGGCACAGCCCAACGGCGGTGTGGTCCGAGGTTGTTTGTTTCCGGCTGCCGGGGCCACCTGGCTGGCGGGCGGGGATCCAAGGACTCGGGCGGATTCCCTAGGCGGGCGGGTGGATGGATCATGGGCGGGCGAAACAAGCGAACGGAGGTTTCTGTTTCTAATTATGACACAGCCGACAGCGTCATGATTGACGCTGGAGAAGGTCGAACGACGAAGATGGAAGCTGCCCTACTCTGACTCGCGGGCAGCGGTTGACGGATCCCAGGACAAGCAACAAATGATGCTGCTCGAGCGCCTGGCCGTTGAGCCAATAGACTGGGTGCGGGTGCGCCGGCGTGTACAGAAAAGAATGGCGTCGCGCAAGAGCGAGTAAACGAGTGGCTTGCGGCACCGCTGGGCCGCTAAACAAGAATGTCAACTAAAGAATGGATGGCAAATAAAGATGGCCGCGTTGCCGTTGTGTTCACGGCGAGTTCATCGGCGACGCCCAACGGTCGATCAAAGGCCAAATGGGCATCGCGAGGCGATGGAAGACCACGGCAGCCTGGAAGGGGGGTGAGAAGAAAGAAGAGGAGGAGGAGGTGAAGAAGAAGAAGAGGAGGTGGAGGAGGGCCCAAGGAGGGAAGCCTGAGGGGAATCGCGCAAAGCCACGAGGAGCAACACAGCACACAGCACGGCACACGCACGCGCACACGCACACACGGAGTTGTCGTGCGGGAAAAAAAAAAGAAAAAAGAAGAAAAAAAAAGAGAGAGAGAGACTGACGGTCAGGACTCAGGACAACCCGAGGTCTGGGCCAGGCCTGGCACGCAAGATAATTTCGCTTGCAGGGGGTTTCTGGGTGCGCCAATATGCTAGGGTCGGGGCCTGCAGCCAATAAGAATGCAGCATGGCCGGACAATCTGCCGGCCAGAATCCGTTGACACGAACTCGAGTACACAGGCAGTACGTATAGATGTGAGTCAAGTTATGCTAATCCGTACTCTGTCAACGGACTTTTCCGTACACGGCCCGTCATGGTCGATGCCAAAGGGAGAGTGGTATACGACAGCAAAGGCCGTAGATGCCGAAGGGAGGACCAAGGTCCGCCAGGAGACGTGAGGCCCAGGCCCGGAGAGACCTGAGACTCTACGGAGTAAATAGAACTAGAATACGAGTCAGATTGAATGTACTGCCGACAACGCGTCTCGAGCCGATACCCGACTGCTTCTGATCTCTGAGAAGCGCGTTTGCCTCGTGGTGCCCACGTTGGTCGCAAAATTAAAGGGGTCGGCTTCGAACAAACAAAGGGCTTGCTGTCCGCAACACTGACATGGTTGTTCCTGGTGCGCCCCAGAAAAGAGGCTGCGCCAGCGGGTGTGAGTGTTGGAGCAAACAACTTTGGAAGGGTCATCTCGGGAGTGCGGAGTACCTAGAGCGCGCAAAGGCGTCGTGAATCGTGATGGTCCGTCATCTGCCGAATGTTGATGAGATTGCAGAATGCCATGTTTGCTGGAGTCGCGCATTGCTTGAGTAAGTACTTAGTAAGTAATTAGGTACTTTGTACTGGCGCCAAGTACCACCTATCTCTAGGTACCTAGGTACTTAAGTACCTGCCTCTAGGTACCTAGGTAGGTACTTGAGTCGCGCGGAGAGAGTCAGCCACAGGTTGCCAGACAAGTATAATCAATCGTCTGCAGCATGCGATGATTTTTTCGCCCGCCTCGTGATGGCTCTGCTGTCCTCGGCACTTGAAGATGCCTTGGATTGGCGCTGTCTGTCTGGTCTACTTGGGAAGTATCGTATGTATTATTAGCCCGGTGGCGCCAGATGAGCTCTGAGGATGCCAGGTACCAGGCCATATCCGTCTGGTGCCTGGATCGAATGGTCCAAGGTGCCCCGTCCCTCGCGAGGGATTTACCAACTTCCCCCTCACAGATTACTACAGTAAACTACGTCTATAACGATCCCGTATCTTAGCGATATTCAGGTTTTTACGATAATTCACAGTCATCTAAGGTTTTTCCCTAGTAAATTGTTAATAGTTGCGTTACTGACGATATCGCTGACCTTATACTTAGTCACTATATATTTTAGTGTTTTTATCGTTATTAGGCCCCCACTGCAAGGGCTGAATTTCGCCGCCTTCAACGCGTTTTTCTTCCTTCAACACCACAATAACGCATGCCTCTAACCTCAATGACCTAATTGAGCCCTTTTTCGAGCGCGTTAACTAATGACCCAATTGACGATTAGCAGGAAGCTTGCGAGGCAGTACGGAGTAAAGAAATAATAATCTCTTAATATGTACTTTATAATATCTTTAGGTGTAATTTCCTAGTAAATTTAATTAAAGGTATAAGCCCCACAATAGTTAGTTGCATCTTAACAATAGTCGCTATATTACGATGAAAAAAGCCTCACGAAGGATATCGTTATAGACCCGGTTTACTGTACTACTACTACTGCTGCTACTCCGCAGTGGGGACCAACTTCAGGTCAGCCGTCAACAGATTCCATGCTCACAGCGTCTACACATCACGAACCGTCAAAATGTCTCACATTCACCCCTTGTTGCACATGCTGCAGAGGTGTGTTATCCTACACCCGACCGTCTATATGGCTGTGTAACCGAGACGGCCTCCTCAGATATTGAACACCTCGTCAGACTCGTCACCGTTCTACGCATCAGAAAAAAGCGATGACCCTTCCGTGACCTCCACGACACCATCGCAAAACGCAATGTCCTCGCCTCCACAACTTTGTCCCCGGACTTCCCACCTTTCACCTTACCCTCACGCCAATTCCTTCCTACGTTTCTCCGACCCGCGCACCTCGTCAACTCAATCCCTCGTCCCCTCCGAAGCACCAGTCAGCAAGCGAAAGCTTCTCCTTGTCTACATTCATGGCTTCTACGGAAACGACCAGTCGTTTCAATCCTTCCCTGCGCATCTTCACGCCCTGCTCAAGGAGTTGCTGGTCGACACTCATGTCATCCACTCCAAGATATACCCGCGCTATAAGACGTACAAGGCCATAGAGGTGGCCAGGGATAACTTTAGTGCGTGGTTGGAGCCGCATGAGCACGACGGGACAGATGTGGTTCTTGTTGGGCATTCGATGGGGGGTCTCTTGGCGGGCGAGGTTGTTTTGATGGTGAGTTTTTGTATTTTCTGTCATCACATCGTGAGTTGTGTTGCATCGCCCCCCTCAGCATGAGCTCGTGCAAGCATCGTCCACGCGTGCATGCGTTTTGCTGGCTTGTTTGCCCATGTCAAATTACAACTTACTACTTTGAACGAGATGAGAAAAAAGTGCGATATTCTGCTAACCTCGATAGCCAAATGCAAATCCGCATAAAAAGCAGCCTTTCAAACATAGGATCCTGGGCACAGTCGCCATGGATTCGCCATTTCTGGGACTACACCCTGGCATTGTAGTTTCAGGTATCGCGAGTCTATTTCAACATTCACCGAATCAAGGGGACCTACAGCAGCAGCGTTTACCAGGACAGGAAGATCCGAGCACGCCCTGTAGCTCCAAGCCATCTTCCTCAACTGAGAGACTGCCATTCATCGGCTCAGATGTTGTCCCGACAGACACAGGCCCATCACCACGCCCACAGCGACAATCGGCCGATCCCTATTTTGATCCACCTTATTACAACGATGCCCCATTCCGGGAGAAGCCCTTTGTAAAGCGTCTCATCAACTTTACAACCAAACATAAGCGTGAGGGACTGCTAAACGCGGTTAGAAGACACATCACTTCGCACTTGGAGTTTGGTGCATGTCTGGCGGATTATCCTGGCTTACATGAGCGATATAACCGGCTGCGGGCGCTAGAGGATGTAGATGAGATCAAGAAAATGACCGAGGGTCACCCGACTGGTGCGCATGCCAGAGTTCGACTTGTAAACTACTATACTTTATGTCCTGGCCGACCCAAAACAGTCAAAGTCGACGATGAGGCGAGCCAAGACATGCAAGCAGCACCGCTGCACCTCGCGGAGCTAGATGTCCAGGATCTGCCAGTCTCACAGAGCCCGCATCCAGAAATGCCCAGGACGCCAGGGAAGGAGGTTAAAACAACTACCAAGTCTGTCGCGAATCCGGATTCTCAAATAGCAGACGCTGCAGAAAATAACGCCATGCAGGATTCGCAAAACCGCGGGGAAGAGCAACACGAGATTTTACTAGACAATACTCTCAAGCTAACTCTTGAAAATTCTTACCCTATTTCGATGCAGAACTTGGACCCCAGCCCCCTCGCCGAAACCGAATCCCAGAGCCAAACCACAATCGTAACCGATGATCTCGATCTTCCCCTCATTCCCGACCTTCCATGCAAACCTATTTTGCCAGATATAGACGCCATCTCGGACAAAGAGGCCAAAAAGCAAGCCCAAAGAGAGTCGAAGCGCCTCGAAAAAGCGTACACGCAGGCTATCAAACACCGTGTCAGGGCTGCGCAAGAGCGCGACAAGATGCGCGAGAAGAGGCGCAAGAAGGCTGCGAAAGAGGCAGAGAAACAGACCCGGGATGCCGAGAAGACGAGAGCGAAACAAGAGAGACAGGAACAGAAAAAACGTGCCTGCGAGCAAAGGCAAGCTGGTGAGCCCGTTTCTGTGGAGGGACACGGAGAACGGGGCGGCAACGAAGATGCAGTGAGACCAAAGAAATTGAAGAAGTTTTGTGCCTTGCCGTCTTTACGGGGCAAGGCGAGAGATGCGGCCTGGATAGATGTATACATGGACGGACTGGACGAGGTAGGCGCGCACTGCGGACTGTTTTTGCCTGGTCCGCATTATGACGGGTTGGTCGGGGATGTGGGGAGTAGGATCGCGGCGTGGGTTGGAGATGAGCTGACCAAGAGAGCTATACTAGAGGCTGGGTAAAGAAGATACCGGCCGCCGGTACTGATAAATTCGAATGATTGCTCGGCTACTGGCAACGGTAGATAGACTCCAGGCTTCACCATTGTCGACGTGGCCACTGGTCTACCCCCATCGAGCTGCTCGCGGCGTCATCACATCCAGAATCTTGAAGCGTGGAGGACTGCGGCGGTATATTGTACACATCGCTGGTCACGGGTACAAGGAAAGGAAGTCAGTCGCCTCCCATCGATTATCACCACAGCGGGCTCGACACTCATATGCCGCTTCTTTCTCTCGCCCACCTCAACCCCCCTCAGGACGACCTCCTCCTGTGCGTCTACGAAGGCTTCAAACTCAATCGCCACAGCGCCGAGTCGTACCCACGCACCGCTGTCTTCTCTCCTCGCTTGTCTGCCACATATCAATGCCGTGGCCGCACAGTCTGCACCTCCCTTCCAGTTCCGGCCCGTGACAAGGAGGCCGTAATCATGGCCTCGACAAGCACCCTGTTCTCGCTTGTCAAAGCAACGGCCTCCAGCCTCGCTCGGCCCCCCTCGATCGTGAACCCCATGCCAAAGGAGAAGGTTTTGAGGCGCAGAAACGTAAGAGCGTCGCCCTTGTTGAAAACAGCGTGGTCGATACAGAGGTAGCGGAACGCAAGGACCTTTGCGAAGCCGATGGCGTCGGCAAACAACACCGGCACGCTCCCTGGCAAGCGGCCGTCCGAGTCGAGTGGCGATGAGTGCGCTTCCGTCCGCGGCCAGGCATAGCTCAGGGCGAGACAGTCCATGTCACCACCTGCGGCGATCTCGTGAGCGGCAACAACACACATCTCGTGGCGGTCAAGCAGGCGTAGCCCTGGCACCGTCGTGACGGGCGCCATGCAGGCGGTGCCCCCGTGATGCTCCCTGCAGAAATCCAGCCAGGACCACGGTAGAGCAGCATCAACCACGGCCGACACCAGCCTCCCTCTGATGCTCGCTTCTCCCTGCTTCTCGGCGTGCCTCGCTGTGCCGTCATGCTCGTCCACCTTCAAGAGATGGCCCCACGGCAAGCTCTTGCTCTTGTTCATGACCTCGATGACAACCGAGCCGGCAAGCTCGTGCGTCTCCCCGACGCCCCGCGTCAGCTCAAACGCCCTCCTGATCCTCAGGTAGGGACGGGCCCAACCATGGCCCCGAAGAAGATGCAAAACGGACACCGCGGCTACGGCGGCAGACCGGGCCGCGGCCAGACGATGTGCGACAGCGGCACCCACAGCCTCGGCCGGCCATGCTCCCAGTCCAGGAGCCGCGGGAAGTCAATGGCCGCGCACCGCGGACAAGAGAAATACACAAGGGACAAAACAAAGAAATAGACAAGTTGCAAGCGGTCCGGTGTGGGCGGTCTTGGTTTGGCTCGTCAACGGCGGCGCAAGAGCGAAATTAGTCGGGGCATGCACGTACATCATTCCCATCATGGTCCATTCTGTTCCATCGTGAACTGGGGGGTTTCCCGAGGTCGTTTGTCGACCAGCTGACACTGGCTCGCAAGCCGCCTGGCGTCGTTTGAGAAATTGAGAATCGGATCAAGGACCGAGGTGGCGGGTTGGGCCTAGGCAACGGGAATAACCCTAACCCTATCCAGGTCCTCCATGGACCCCAGCCCCTTTGCCCCCGACCCCAACATGGCAGTAAAGACGGGGGAGACTTGCAATTCGATTTTTTTTGTATGCTAATTGCGGAGTAGTGACGTACTAGTAGTATGTATGTACGTACGTACGTGACTTGCTCCCGTTACTCCGCACTACTGCCAGTAATTTCCGTGACACAGGCACGGCCGATGGGTAAACCTCCGTGACCACTTGTCCCAGGCATCTTTTGGTACAGATTTTGTGATTGAGAGCCAGATCCGCTACAATTCTAGCCGGGTATAAACAGGTTTACTACACGTAGGACAGGGTATTATCGTCATTGAACTTTGCGGCGACTCCGAGATGGGCTTCGCCTCCAGACACGCACGGCCCGCGCGCCACAATCTGGGAGAAAAGCTACAAGTTAGCCGCTTATCAATCTCGCAGGGCTGAGGGACGGGTGAGCTTTGCTGTCGTGCTGGTGGTGCGTGCATGCGTGCATGCTTGCCGACGTACCTCGCCCTCGACGACATGGTCCGTGGTCTTGTGCTCGCCCATGTCCTTGAGGTAAATCTCGACCGAGGACGGCGGGACACCAAAATGGGCCTTGACGCCAGGTGTGAGTCTGTAGTCGTAGAGTGCGGTTTGCGCAACGGCACCTGCAACTCTGGCCGCGGTCAAGGCGTACACTACCCTGGCGCCCGTGTAGACTCTCAAATCAGACAGCACGCCGGATGAAAGCAGCGGTGTATCGCCGCCGATGCGCTCCGCCACGTACACGAGTCGCAGCTTTCCAGGCGCATTGCCGACGCGAGGGCGCGCGCCGGCCGCAAAGGCAGAGAGGATGTTTCCGCCGCCGTGTACTCCACGCTGCGCAAGGGTGCTGGTCGCCAGGGAGTGCGAGAGCTTGGCGAGTCCGCCACCAAGGCGGCGGGTGGACTCTTGATGCGTTCGAAGCAGGGTTGCCGGGCTGGCGACAATGACGGTAGGCGCCACGCCCTGCGTGGCAAGCGTGAGATCTGCCGACGGGCCAGCAACAGAGTTGAATGCCACCGAGGCGTTGCAGTACAAGGCCGTGAGGGTAAGCGTCATTGTGTGCACGTTGGAGAGCGACTCGACGGGGAGGAACAAGTCTGCCTGGGTGAGGCGCTCTCTGGTGGGGATGGCCGCGATTTGCCCAGCTATGCCAGAAACCAGATTTGCCTGGGTGAAGCGCACCATTTCTTCCAACTCGCCCTGCTTGTCTTGCCAGAAGCTGACAATGTCACCGGGGGCATTGGCATTGTCGTCGGGAGCAGGCAACTCGGTTCCGGCGGCGGCAGGGCTGTCGTTCAAGAGGTCCTGCCAGGTAGTCACGTTGACGGCTGAGCCCATGCCCTCGGGAACATGGTTCCAGTCCATGTGACGGCTGCCTTGGTCGACGACCCAGATGAGTTGCCGGAGGGATGGGTAAGCAGTGACAACGGCGTCGAGGGGGAACGACCCCGTGGCGGCGACGACAGTGTCGACGGCGGAGCGCCGCAGCATAGAGATGAGTTCCGAGTCGCTGACGTCGAAGGGGATGAGGACTGCCGTGAGGTTCGGATAAAATGAGCAGGCAAGCAGGGTGACGAGGTGTTCCAGGGAATTGGGGAGGTAGATGGCCACTTTGATGGAGCCCCGTTCGGCAATGTACCGCCCGATGATGTTTATCTGTCGATTGATGTCGTCTACAGAGAAGGGGGGTGTGGTGAATTAGCGGGAAACGGACCGCGACGTCGAAGCTGACCATGGCCAGCATGATGGGCGCACATGACCCAGAGTGAGTCGAGAGTCAAGACAAAGACGAGGAAAGACAACGCACCCATCTTGTGTTCCACTACATTCTCTGATCCCAACACTGTCAGCAGTCGTCCTCTGGCTGCGGCATCACCGCTCCCGCTCACGGCCTGCAACCAGACATGGCGCAAGTCGCCGTCCCGACCACGGGAAAACTTGGGCGCGCCAGGATCCTTGACATTGAGCCCCGAATTGAGGGCCATGCCGTGCGGCGCGGACTGCGAGCGGTACACGGCACTCTCGCCCTCGTTGCGCACCGCCGACGGCACGGACTGCCTGGCGAGGAGCAGAGGGTGGGCGTCGGGCTCCGCGGCAGACATGATACGATAGGTGACGAGCACGACGAGCGCGGTGGCCAAGGCGGTCGAGTAGCCGTTCCACTGGCCGAACAGATCCGCGATGGACGAGTCGAGTGATTCGAGGAGACCCATGATGACAGGAGGGAAGGGCGGTTCGGATGGCGTCGGTGGTCTGTTGGTTGTTGGTGAGGACAACTGGGTTGGGTTGCTCGCCGCTTGCTGCTTGCCCAGACGACCGGGGCGCGGGCAGTTGGGCGACGGGAGGAGATGGTGAGAGCAGCTTCTCTCCGCGCGCAGGGCCGGATGGATGGATGGATGGATGGATCAGCGGACGGGCGGATGGATTGGATGGACGGTGGTGTTTTGGCCTCGACGTTCCGAGACGAAAGTGGGGGCGGTTGAAAGACGGCGGGAGTGACGCCAGACTTTGGCCGTCTCCTCAGGGCCGCCTTCGGGCTGACCTGTCACCTGGCACCAGGCACCTGGGCATCAAGGGACGTCCAGAGTGGGGCGTCGGGAGCCGCCGACGACGAGCTACCCTGCACGTGGTGTCAAGTTCGAACCACGTCAGGTCAGATGAGCAGGCGTCTTTTTTTTGGAGCCAATTCTTTGCCCGGGGCATCTTGCTCGCCCATGTCTGTCTTGACTCCAGCCAGGCAACGACCGCGCTCTTCAACTCGCCCTGCGGCCCCTGAGTGTGTGCGTGTGTCGGGTCACGACTCCCAAGGACTCAATCCACTCCCTTGTCTCATGACGAACGAGTCCGAAAACCACCGAGGTCGGACACCGGAGCGGAGGTGCGATTGCCGAATCGGAAGCCGCTCGAAGCCGGCCGGTCGGTTATCGTGCGATTGGTCGTTGACGCAGGGTTCGTTTGTTAGGACGAGGCCATGCTTAAGCAGATGGTCCGAAACATGATGGCTCTCAAAAGCTGTCACAACTCGCTGTGGAAAGTTCTCGGAGACGTCAACAAAGTCGAGAGTACAGGCTGTTAATCCTGCGCAGCAGCATCTTGCCAGAACGCGACGGAACAGCTGCCCTGGGCCGCTGCGTCTCCCGAGTCTCGTTCCTCTCCATGTCAGCCTGCGAATGCCACGAGGAGCCAACGGCAAGCTTGCATCAGCCAAGAACAATCAACAGCGATTCGTGGCGGCCTGCGGGCAGAACCCCTTAAGCTGCTGTCCGCGCGAATCCTCGGCCGAGAAGCCGTTCCTACTACGCACTGCAAAGTTGCCATTTCGTCAAATAATGGCCCATCTTGTGCTTGTTTCACTTCTGCTGCTCTTTACGCAGAGACAGTCGTGGGGCACGATTTGAAAAAAAATCGCCCGCGGCATTGAAAAACGGCACGAACTCGATTCTAAAAAATCTAAACGGAGCCTCACAAGAAAAGCCAGGCCTCTGACAGGGCCGAACAGGCACACGCGTACGATCCGCTCCCGCTGCGCTCTTTTGTTCCATGGCTCAACAGCCACAGCTGGGGCCCGTCTCGACAGGCGCATGTTGCTAGTGTTGGCCGTCAGAATGGGGAGAGACTCATCATCACGTCCCGAGGCTGTTTATCCCCAGCCATGTCAGATCGTGACACACTAGTCAGGTTGGCTGACGAAATATCATGTGGCCAGCGGCCGGTCGATTCTTCAAGGAGACAGAGTTCACGTCAAAAAAAGGCCTCTTCCACAGTGGCGGATGTAGCTCTAGAGCTAGTCGGTTTTAGCTCCGTGCCTATGCATGGCTTTAAGAGCACCTCTTGCTTAGTCCACGACGGAGATGGAATTTCAACGCCTGGCCGGAGAACTTTGCCGAGCGAGTGAGTTTACTAGCCACTCTAGGTATCCCTAAGGGCCACGCTCACCAAACCCTTGAGGATCTAGCTGGGGCGTGGAAGGGACTTTGACGCAAGTAGTGGTGCAGCTCACACGGAGCGAGGCCGTACCATATCAAGCACAAAAGCCTGCTCGGCCGCCAGCCCGGACAGTTTTGTCACTTCTCAAACGCGATCCCTGCACGGCGATATAGAAGCCAAACGCTGGCACTTGTCGCGGACACGTACACGTACACATACACGTACACGTACTCGTACATGGCAAGGCGATACGGCGGACGACAGGCATCATGTTTTCGGCACTCTTCATCTTGGTTCTCCTGGCCCTGGGACTGTCGGCATCGGCCGGGAGCACGGACAAGGCGCCCATGCCGCCTCCCAGCGACGATGTCTTCTACCAGGTGCCAGAAAATTTGAGTCTCCTATCCCCGGGGACAATTCTGCGACACAGGCCGGTAGAGCATGCGCCCTCCACCGCCATGAACTCGGACCTGAACGTCCTGGCCACGCACCAAATCATGTACAGGACCACGGACAGCCATGGCAACGCGACGGCCACAGTCATGACCGTCCTGGTCCCCTTCAAGGCCAACTACAGCCGCGTCGTGTCGTACCAAGTGGCGCAGAACACGGCGGCAGTCGACTGCGCGCCCTCGTACGCGTTCCAGCTCGGCTCGCTGCCCGCAGGCGTCCTCGGCTCGATCCTCACCAAGTCGGAGCTTCTGCTCATCTCGACGGCGCTCGCGAAACACTGGGTCGTCCTCGTCCCCGACTACCTCGGCCCCAAGGCGGCGTTTGGGGCCAACAAGCTCGCCGGCCAGGCCGTCCTGGACGGCATGAGGGCGGCCGTCCGGTCCACCACCGTGACTCAAATCGACAAGGGGGCACTCTTGACAATGTGGGGATATTCCGGGGGCGCCCTGGCCAGCGGCTGGGCCGCCGAGCTTCACCCAAGATATGCTCCGGAGCTGAGAATCGTCGGAGCGGCCATGGGCGGCCTTGCCCCTAACGTCTCGGCCGTCGTCAAGGACCTCGGCCGCACCCCCCACGGCGGAATCGTCGTCGCGGGCCTGGTCGGCCTCGCCAACGAGTTTCCCGCCATCGACGACATCCTGACTTCGCCGCGGATGAACCCCGCGTACGAGAGGTACTTTGAGGAAGCGAGGACGGGCTGCCTCCTCTCCAACGCCGTCCAGCTCGGCAGGATTGACTTCAAGAAGATGCTCAACGACTCGGACATAAGGACCCTTCCTGCGGTCCTCGACGTCATGGACCAAGTGTCCCTCGGCAAGGCGGTTCCCAAGATCCCACTCATGATGTACCACGCGTCACTCGATCTCATGACGCCGAGGAATTTCGTGAATGTGCTCTACGCCACGTACTGTTTGCAAGGCGGCGTCGTCGTTCTCCGCAAGGAAATCTTGGCATCGCATGTGACGGCCGCGGTGACTGGCACCCCCGCCGTCCTGAACTTCCTCGAGGACGTCATGAGCGGCGGCAAGGTCGAGACTTGCTGGGAGGGGACCATGATTTCTTCGCTGCTGGAGCGGGCAGTGCTGAAGAAACTGCCTGGTATCTTGAGCAAGGCATTCCGGGCGGCGGTGGGCAAGAGAATCGGGGCTGTCTGAGAGCCGCCAAACCATTCGCCACGTCTAGCCTTTGGCCGGGCATGCTTTGGACGTGTCTGGGCAAGTCTTTGTGTGTACCGAGTACTCCTTGTATGCCGTGCCGGGTTGTATTCTAGCTTCTTCTTTTTCGTTTCGTCTTCCACAATTAGTAGCACTCGGTCAAGTTCAAGGTATCTGAGAGAACATGTAGTAAGGAATACATGCCATCCCCATCCCAGTCGTGCTCCATCTTCCTCTTCTCCCAACCCTCGAAGGCGCCTGATCAGCCAGCAAGGCAAGACAAGAAGACCATATAGGGAGCGCACCAATACTGCCAGTCTAGACAAACACCCGGTGGCGTTTCAATTTAGGCTAATGCCGACTTCCCAACCTGTCACGGTCAAAGAGGAGGTGTGTACACGGGTTGAGCATCCCGCGTTGCTCAAGCACATAACCGATTTCCTAATCGAGTCAGTGGGCGTGCAGTTTTGCCCACAATGAATGAGCCAAGGCTCAACGTTGATCTTGGCATCTACGCCTCGGCGCTTCGGACTACGTTACCGTACATGCTACAAATAAATCTACCTGAGCCCACGTCACCTTGCATCCGACGCGGCGGGGGATGGCAACAACCTTCGGTCGACGAGACTCGGACGCAGCATCAGCCCGTGGCCCAGCTATCAACCGTTTCCCTGGCTCGTCCATCTCCGTCTCTTGCTCCTCAATGCCGACGTCTTGATCTCCCGCCCCAAGTCGACAACACCATGGCATCAGCTACATCCTCGACGCCGTTCTCCGTCGCGGGCAAGACGGCCATCATCACCGGCGCGGCATCTGGTTCGCAATGTCCCCAGATCCTTGTTTGTCGTGTGAGCCCAAGGCAGGCCTTGCTAAGAACCAACAGGCATCGGTTACTCGTTCGCCGAGCTCCTCGTGTCCAAGGCCTGCAACGTCGTCATCGCCGACCTCGGCCTTCGCCCGGAAGCCGAGCGGCTCGTCTCCGAGCACAGCGACAGGGCAAGGAGCCCCCGCGCCGTATTCTGCAAGACAGACGTCACGTCTTGGGCCCATCTCGACCGCATGTTCCGAGTCGCCGTCGCGGAATTCGGCGGCTTCGACATCGTGTGTCCCGGGGCCGGCGTCTACGAGCCGCTCTGGTCCAGCTTTTGGCACCCGCCGGGCTCCCCGGAGTGCAAAGACGGCGTCGACGCCGGCGGCTACGCGCTCCTGGACATCAACTTGACGCATCCCATCCGCGCGACCCAGCTTGCCCTGCAGCACTGGCTCGGCTCTCGCGAGACGGGCGCCGACGCCCGCCGGTCCGGCTCCTCCGTCGACGGCCCGAAGCGAGTCGTGCTCATCTCCTCCATTGCCGCGCAGGTTCCGGCGCTCCAGGCTCCGCTGTACGTGGCGTCGAAGCATGCCGTCTCCGGGTTCACGCGGTGCCTCGCCGAGCTCGACCCAATCTTGGGCGTCCGCGTCACTGCCGTGGCGCCAGGGGTCGTCAAGACGCCGCTCTGGACCGACCACCCCGAGAAGCTGTTCCTCCTGGACCGAGACAAGGACGAATGGGTCACGCCCGAGCAGGTTGCCCGGGTAATGCTGGACTCGATGGAGAGCGAGAAAGTCGGGGGCGGAACTGTGCTGGAGGTTGGCGCGCAAAGGACCCGACCCGTCCAGGTGTACAACGATCCTGGACCGGATTTCGGCCCTGGCGGCGGCATGACAGTCAGCAACTCGGCCCAGGGTGACGAAATGATCAGGACTTGGCTCCGAGACGGGAGGATTTGGGCCGTCCACGATGGCGCTGCCGAGTAACTTGGTTGGCTGCCCAACGACGGCCCGCGTGTGTATGCCAGCGGGACGTCATAAGAACGCAGAAATACAAGGGGCAAGAGAATATTTCAAGCGCCAGTAAGGAGCGTGAACATGTCCTTTTGCGGTAGTTCTAGCAAAAATGGCCATCTTGTATTATGTCAAGACGGTCCAACTTGGTCTCCTGTACTCCCGCCAGACCGTCCTGTCAAGTATGCTACACCGCAGAACAGTGTCGCAAGGGCTCTGCAAAGTTTGAACATGGCCTCCAAAATGACAGAACCGCAGAGTTGTGAGCTTCTTCGCTCAGATTACTCGCTTCCTGTCCACTGTCGGATCCAGTTTGTTCATGAAATCAGTTTCGATGTGGTCCCGCGGTATGAGGCGCAGGTCCAGGTTGAGTGCCGCCGACGTGAACTGCCCTCGGGATTTGCGCTTGAGCAGTGGCAGATCCTTGGAGGTTCGGATCAAGGTCTGCTCTCGGACGAAGCGTGCTTGTAGGCCACCCTTGCTGTGTTCCATACATTTCGCCTTGTGTCGTGGCCATGGGCTCAGCGCCGTGAACCGGGACTGCATGTCGGTCGTCGGTGTGGGCCGCGTCACTGCCTGTATTCGAGTCAACTCGAGGATCGATGGCATTGGCAAGCCGTGAGGAGTGAGGACCACGAGCGCCCGCTGACACATTCTCCATTGGCGCTGTGGCAGAAGCACCCGGAGGGGGGGCTGAGTAAGTCGTCATGCTCGATGTGACGGCTGGGTTAACGCCTGGGCCTGCATTACTTGTCACGCCCGGTCCATACGAGGCCTCGTATGCCCGCGTGGATGTGTCGACTCCAGGCCCGAGAATTTGCGCTCCCCCCGAACGACTATCGACGGTGGGATCCAATTTATTCAGTATATCGTGTCGATGCGGCCCGGCAGTATGGGGTGCAGGCCCAGGCAAGTCGCCTCCGATCGATGTCTGACCATGAGTTCCCACCATATTAGGTTGAAGCTTTTCTCGAGCACCAGGGCGTCCGTCCGCGGCAATGTACTTGGGTCGGCCCTTGGAACTCTTATGACCAATGCGGCACATGGTGATGGCTGTGATGCTTTTGCAATTTTCGAACCACTAGTAACGTATGAGAGCGGGTAGAGTGAAGGGCGATCAAGTGTATCAGGCTATACGGCTTGTATATTTTGCCATTTACAGTGGATGGCAAAGGCTGGTGGCGATGTGGCTTTCGTGATGATGATGTCACGACGGGATTTGGCCGTTGCCAAAACGTGAATGATGTCACCCGGTGATTCGAATTTTGATGACATTGAATATTCTTGCAGTGTCGAAAAAGCAGCGACGAGACATTTGCGGGAAGTTCTACTTGAGAATCTGCGGCAACAGTCCAAAGCGGTTCTCCCACGACATGTCAAGACAAGTCGCATACTTTCTCGTCGGCCTCTTTGAATTTAGACGGGGATTTTTCTATGCGCTGTTGGATTAAACCATGGATGGGCTCATCACTCCTCTACGCTGAATTTGAGAAGCGGATTATCGATATCGTGGCGATTCGTGATACAAAAGGGAGTCGATCATGGTGCTTCACTAAACCCGTCCTCGGCGATCCCCCCATCTCGACGGACAGACAGCTCACCTCGGCTGCCTTCTCGAATCGATATATGGTCTCTATAGCTGGGTAATAACGTCATGAAGGTGGTCGGGGCAGACATTGCTTGGTGGCATGTAAACGTCGACGGCGCACCTCGTTACGTCATTTCACGGTCGACGGCGGCGAGTATGTCGGATATAAAGCTGAGGCTCGCTGGAGTTTCTCCCGCCGTTGATGAATCTGAAACCAAAGACTTTGAGACTTGGGATCCGATATTAATATACATTTGAACCTTGAATCGACAGAATGACTTGCGACTGTGGATCGACTTGCAACTGCAGTGGCTCTAATTCCTGTAGCTGCGGCCAGAGCTGCACCTGTCAGAACTGTGGAGTACGTTTATATAATGGACCTTTGCGCAATAAAAGGCGGGTAAGCTAATGGTATAAAAGAAGTAGGGGGCTCGTGCGAGGGAAGGCCTGGCTTTGACTGGGTGTCTTTGCAAGAGACGCTGTAACACGAACCGGCGGGCGGCAATCTCCCCGAGGGGCATCGGTTTCTCTGTACTAGATACATAGGACTCCTTCGTTTAGTAATGAAATGACCCGGTTCGACGAGAATCCAAGGAGCATGGAACAAGAGTGTGATATTCTGACTCGGGTTATTCGATCAACCTGCGAGGCTGCTTGCACGATGGAGGGTCCTCGAAAGACTGGCAGCGTTCTTCCCACTCCAGGGAAAGGCGTCGAAAACAAAAAGACCGGTCAATCTGGGAATATAATCCCAAACTCTTGGGACGGATGCCACACGCTCAACGATCTGGCTACTCCGCAAACATGCAGACTCCCTGCTCTGTACGGCAAGCAATTTTATATACCGCCTCGTACGTGGCATTTTCTCCGTTGCTGTCTCTGGCGCCGATTCACCTCAGCCAAGAGCTATCATCCAGGTAACGTGGTGGTTCGATGCCCCTGGCTACTCAGCCACGCCATCCTGTGACAGCGCACACCAGGCGGGCGTGCTATCCTGCTCTGGGTTAGCGATTCGGTTTTCCGATGTAACTACTCCGGATGGAGTACTTGACGATTCATCAGTGGAGCACAAGATTCTCTTGTCAAGAGCAGTCAGGCAGTCAGGCTCTTTGTAGCTCTTCTTTCTTGACAATGGCGGCTACCGCCTCGAGACATGAATGTCCGTCGTACACCTGCATCACGCCGGCTTCGGCTTGCATCAGTCAATACCAATCAAAGCCGAGCGATCAGAGACCCCCAGTCGAGCTGAAATTCTGGCTGCCGTGACGGCAAGCACGGCTCTATTTTCAAGATATGGGAGTCGGGAAACCGGGCGTCGGTGAAGGGTTTAAGCATCTACCCCCATGCGACCCGGTTTTCGTTGGACTACCCCATATTGCGCAAGAGGGCGTCGATGAATCCCTACGATGGCCCGTGGGCATCTGTTTCCGCAAGGCAAGGAAGCGGCCCAGCTGCCGACCCGGTTTTGAAAAGAGCTGGGTCCTCGTTGCTCAGGGATATTCGGCTAACAAGAGCAGGCGTTGCTCACGGAAAATACGGAACGGAACCGCCACGCAAAGGACCAGACGAGAGACTGTGGATCCACGAGGAATGAAGTTCAGCAAGCCCGTGGCCGTTGACTGGTGGTTTGCTTTTTGACGTGAAGACACCAACAAGTTCAGATGCGCGGCAAACATCAGACCACTTTCTGGTTTCCCCAAGACCGAGGACGGAGTAGCGATGCCCGAGACCCAGAGCCAAGGCCATGCGGCTGGCAAGCTCATTGGACGCCGTGCGGGGGGCGTCCAGTCGGCGGGCATGGACGTTGAAACAATGAAGCAGAAAGCTGGTTGCCGAAGCGTCGTCGATTCGCCATGTCTGGACTTGTGCACGCCCAAGCCCGTGGCTGAGGTTGCTGGTGGCACTTTGCTTTGGCCCCCTTCTATTGGCTGACCGCGTCGGCCGCCTCACCGACGCCCTGGGCCAATCAGCGTCGAGGCTCGTTTCTCCCCGTCCTCGCTCCCCTGGGTTGGCATCGCGGCACCACGAGTCCATGGACCACGACCATCCATGCCGCCATGCGCGGTACTCGGTACGGTACGGCTACGGCCACCGGTGCGGAGGATGGAGTGTGTAGGTGCGGTACGTACGTGTGTGTCGAGTTCGATGCAATGCAACGTGATTGCTCGAACATCGCATTTCCCCATCTTTCCGATGATGCTCATAATCAGCCGGGATCCAGGTCAGATCGGCTAATCTCCAGGCCATCGCCGACACTTGAATCCCCCCGTCCCCCGCAAGCAAGCAAGCACGCAAGCAAGCCCGGCCTGGACTGGCCACTGCTCTGTCTGTTCAAGGTGCCTTTGCCTCCCCAAAGCAGACCAAGGCAAAGCAAACCAAAGCAAAGCAAAGCAGACCAAAGCAGCGGGAAGCAACCCCCATCGGAGCGTCTCAACCGCCTCTCGTCGACTCTCTGCTTTCGTCCTGGTGCAGCCTGTAATGAGGACCAGATACCAACGACTGCTGCCAGGCACAGCCAAATCCAACAGCCCCGGCGGACGGTCCAGCAGCGCGAGCACGAACCGAGATGCAGCCCCGCTGCCTACCTGCTTCGTAAACCCCATCGCGTGCGAGAGGTGCCGCCGGAAAAAGGCCAAAGTACGTAAATCCGAGACACGAGCTGCGTTGATGTCTTCGTCAGCCGACAACTGATGGACAGTGTGATGGCGAAAGACCGACCTGCGATCGCTGCCTGCGAAACAACACGAGCTGCCAGTACGACGCAGATGTCGGCGAGTCCCGCTCCTCGGCGCTCAAGAAGAAGTACGGCGCGCTGGAGAAGGAGACGGGCCAGCTCAGGAAGGAGGTTCACGAGCTGAAGCGCCTCTACGAGTACATCGGCGCGTCGTCCGAGGACGAGGCGTACCGCGTCTTCCAGCACATCCGGGCCAGCGGCAACAACAACCCCATCGACGCCCTGCGGTCCTTTGACCGGAACGACTTCCTGACGGCGGAGTACACAGAGTCCCCCGCCTCCACCGAGATGTCCGACGACACGGGCATCGAGCCGACCACCAATGCCCTCATCAACGTCAGAGCTCTGCCCTGGTCCGTCGTCGCCAGCGACCAGGTCGTGTCCGAGCTCATCTCGCAGTACTTCACCTTTGACTACCTATACGTTTACCCTCCCATTCACCGTCTCACCTTTCTCAACGAAATGAGGTTGGGAAACGTCGCCGCCGCGGCATGCTGCTCGCCGCTGCTCGTCAACGCCATTTGTGCGCAACAGTGTGTAAGTCGCCAAAGCGTCGTCGTTACCTCTCAGCTCGCACTGGACTAAAACGGTTTTCCTCTTGTCTTGCTTCTTGTTTTCTTTTAGTTTCTCTCCCTGAAACAGTATCTAGATACCACTCTGCGTGAGGAGCTGGCAGACAGGTTCCTGCAAGAGGCACACAGGCTCCTCCAAAGCGAAGGGTGTCGGCCGTCTCTTCCAGCCGCCCAAGCCATCTGCCTGATATGTGCTGCCGAGACCGCCAAAGGTCAACTCAAGTCTGCCGTCATCACCAAAGTAGAGGCGGCGTAATAAGTCGACGGAAGAATAATAGATTGGCGCGGAAAGGATCAGGGGTTTGGCGAACAGGGCATTCTTACGAGCGTGGATTTTCATCGTCACTTTTTACCTTGCGACCTCGAGGCGGGGATTAGAATATCTTGTTTCAGTGCTCTAGTTGCCTTTTTTTTTTCTAGAGATTTCATCAAGGCTTTACCCAAGCCACTCGCATTCATGTCGGCCTCTCGTTCAGGCTATCAAAAGCGTTCGCGTCTTGGAATGGAACCCGATTGACCGGCAGACTCTGGGAAATTGGAGCTTTTCGGGAGCACAAAGCCGTGAGAATACCTTCTTATGAAGCATACCGTGCGACCGGGCACCTACAGACTTTCTTCCATGTGATGCCTGGCCCGAAGTTGCCTACATCTTCCCCACGCACACGCCGACGTCAGAATGTCGAAAGACGGGTGGGCGACTGAGGATTGGCACACCGGCAATGGGAGTACAAAGACGGTTTAAAGATGCGGGCCAAGGAAGCGTCAATACATCTACAGCTAGCTGATTGATGCATCTTCCAGCGGTGCAACACCCTTGATACTGACCTGTGCACCGAACATGTCCATGTCTTTTGGTAGACCGTTGCAATCTGTCGTCTAACCCTAACCCTTGCACCTGCCTGACGTGGTCCGTGTACGGAGTATTTAGGATTGTTGGCTTCCTGTCCGATGGCCAAGTTGAGGAAATCCTGTACGTACACACAAGGATATTGACAACTTCCTCGTGGGCGCCCTTCGCTGATGCCAAGGGCCCTGCCGCAACTTGTGATGCTCCGTCTTCGCCCAGGCGTCCCGGCATGAACTCTCCTCTCTCATGCCGCCGATAGCCATGATTCTTCAGCCCCAGCCTTTGCTTGAGCAGAGTTCAATATTTCTCCAGTCACAGCGGGTCGCTTGCGATGTAGCATGGCACCTCTTGTCCTTGTCTGTCTCCAGGCCGGGCTCTGTCCAGAAAGAGTCCTCCTTTCAAACACCAACAAGCATTATACTGCTGCCTGGCCCGTAGGCAGCAGTAGTGCAGCAAGATTTGACATTTCGTTTTTTCCCTCGTACACTGGCCAATTACAACCTCTTGCTCCGTAGCTGTCCAAGTAATCGCGGGGGTGTAAGACGCGAGATGCCCCGTGTGCTTTGCCTGTCCTGTCTTCGGGATTCCGAGGCCGACATGCAACTTCTTTGCTCGGGCCCGATACCGTCATCTGTATGGAGTACGTATCCGTCTTTTGACTCGTCACCTTTTGCTTGACTCGACTTGTTTTGCCTGTTCTGTTCTGTTCGCCCCGAATAGTATTTTCCAATACCAGCGTGCCAACTCGGTCGTCTTTCTCCACGTCTTTGCTGCCCCCCCAAGCTGCTTTCATCAAAATCAAAGCCCAACCGTTGGCCTGCCTGCCATGCCAACTCTCGAAAGTTGGATAATTTGGCCCGATGGCATGGGGGCCCTGTCCGTCATGACGGGACTCTTGCGGCTAAACTTGCTGCCAAGGCTGGCAATCTCCCACGAGTCTGTCTGTCCCTGGTCAGATCAACATGGTGTTCAAGGCAGATAACCGGGTTTGTGGGACTTTGCAAAGTCAAAATGAGCACTCTCGTAATTATCGTCATTATTCTTCCGACGTTAAGTTTTGTCAGCATGGCACACCGCCGATTGCCGCGCATGTACGATGCAAGAGAGAGTATCGACATGGCCCGAAGGATAGAATTCACCATTCATCACCGTCAAGGACCCGCGCGGTTCCTGGACTGACCAGCCGGGCGGGCGGGCTGTGACGACATATTCATTTCATGACCGGCCGTATCAAATGGTAAAGGTTACGGTGACGGCGTGGGAAACCGCCATTGGCGCCCAAGAAGCCGGGCAGCTTGTCGAAACCAAAGGGACACCGGGTCGAGCAGTGCTCCAACCAGTATTTGGTCAACGACAGCTGGCTCCAGCACGGGACGGCATCACAGAAAGCTTTCATCAAGGCCAGGGTGGCAGGCTCTAGTTGCCGGGGCTGGTGTCGACCGCGTCCCCTTGGTTCCGGTGAGTTGTTATCCGCCCGAAAATGGTTGTCGAGATGGTACCAAACCTGCGGCCGCTGACGACGGCAAATCCGTCAAATTTAGATGCGACTCCTGGCGCGGCCTGTCAGCTACCGGTTCTAATTAGGCGTGGCCTTGAATTCTTGGTAGACGACAGAGCGGACTAGGTCCCGGAAGAGAGGCCTGTCCATTTTCTAATAAACGCCATCGTTGAAAAAAGGCCGTGCCGCTAGTGGGAAACAAGGTCGGACCGAAGTCAAGAGGTCTTGCTTGATTCACGGAGACGGACGAACGGACTGAAGGTGTCACTGGATCAAGTAGAGTCGGGAGAGATTTCAAAGCTCGTAGTTTCACGACACCGTCCTCCGCGGGGGAATTCGCCCAAGTATTCCACATGTCAAACTACATGGTCGTGGTCGAAAACGGAAGCATAGTCAAAGCCGTACCAAGTGTTGCCGTGACTTCCTTGATCGATACTAGGTCATCCCATCTATAAAGACTACGTCGTTGCTCTCGTTCATACTGTGGCCGTTTGACTAGCGTTCAACACGGTCATTCGGCCGAGTCCTGCATCCGCCGACAAGAGACTCATGCGATCTATGTGACTGTCGGAAAGCCGCTGCGGCCGTGGGTGCAACATGCTGCAAGCCAATGACGGGCTGCCTCATGCAAGAACATACCTTCTTTGCATGATAACTCCGTGGGCGATTTGTATGCAGTCCATGATTGGAGCCTACAATCCTCGTCAGCCAGTCCGTATGTGCTGGCAGGTTGAGCGAGAAGTCTGGTTATTCATAGAAACATTGGTAGAATTCCAAAAACTGTAGAGCATGTTGACTAGCCGTGAATGCGTAATCCACACGCTAAGAACATGCCATAAGCCTTATATATATATGTGTGTGTGTGTGTGTGTGTGTGTTCTTGAATCGATTTATATCGATAAATCCGACAATAGCGGCCCGTTTTTGAATTCCCCAGCGCCGGCGTACGAGGTATGCTTTCTACTCTGTAGTCTAGACAAGGACTATTTTGCGAGGAGCTGCAACTTACTCTATAGCAGTGCGCGATATACTTTACGGGAAAATTGCATCTTGCTCAACACTTGAAAAAAAAAAAAAAGTAAAGATTGGCATGACAATTCCAGTGCAACGCAGGAATGTGAGGGCACCACCCAGCGCTTATGCAGATGCATATTCCGACTTGCAACAATCGTTGAAGGATAACAAGGTCACGACGTCACCAGTTGGGCGACTTGAATTCAAGAGCTCCATGAAATGGTTGCATCCAGAGTCATCAAGGCATGTGAGACGTGCCTAGACAGAGCCGTGTTAAACAGCGGCCGTTGGCATTTCCACCGAGAACATGTGAGGCATTTCCTTCAGTTCACTTCACTCTTCTGTTCTATGCCCGAGGGAAACGGCTTGAATCGTGCCTGCAACCGAGCCTGTCGTGATGAAGCGCGTGGGTGACGGCCGGATGGGATCGGGCATACTCAGCAAATACATCGCGGTAGCTCGTCCACAAACCAGGTTCTGTAAATCACCAGGTAGGTCAGGAATCCTGCCGCACAATCATCGCGTTCTCGACGTTCGGGAGATAACCTCCGGCTGAATGCAGCACTGCGACAACCGCTGGACTGATTGTCGTAATGATGAGCGGTGGTGACATCACCATCTTTGTTCGTCGCCGTCACCTCGCGCCACTCAGAATGCAACGCTGAGACAACGTAGAGAGGCATGAATTGCCGGATTGAATGGCATAAGTGTGACCTTTGCCTCGACTCGTTTTGGCCCCGGGCCATTCCGTATAAAAGAGGCCGCATCCCGCCCAACCAAGCATGCTGCCTCATTTCCGTCGCTCGGTGGTATCGCTTGCACAGATTGCAAGGTCGACGAATATTCATCCCGCTCTTTTCGCAAGATTACGATTACATACAAGCCCTTTCAGAATGGCAAGCACAGACACCTTGAAAGGCAACTTGCTGTTCAAGCTTCAGGGCCGAGTAGCCCTCGTGACAGGTCAGCCAAAACACCACGTCTACCCGACGGCTTTGGAGATGATGCTTACATGGATTTCATCACAGGCGGTGGCTCGGGCATCGGGCTCATGGCCGCACAAGCTCTTGCCGCCAACGGGGCCAAGGTCTACATCACGGGGCGAACAAGAGAGAAGCTCGAAAGCGCAAAGTCGCAGCATTTCGGCGACGACAACAGCAATGTCATTGCCATCCCGGCCGACGTGTCCTCCAAAGAGGGCATTCAATCTCTCGTCAACGAGGTCGAGTCGCGCGAGAAATGTTTGTGTATCCTGGTCAACAACGCCGGCATCTCAGCGGAGCATCACCAGACGGCCGAGGCCAAGTCGGCGTCGGAGCTGCGAGACTCGCTTTTCCGGCAGTCCGAGTTTGATAACTGGACCGACGTCTACCGAACAAACGTGGCCGCCGTCTACTTTACCACGGCTGCCTTCCTACCATTGCTCCAGGCGTCCAGCGAGAGACATGCCGGCTGGTCAGGCACCGTCATCAACATCACCTCCATCTCGGGTCTGGTCAAGACGTCCCAGCACCACTTCAGCTACAACGCATCCAAGGCGGCAGCGAACCACGTCACTCGCATGCTGGCAGCGGAGGTTGCCGCCGCCGGGCTCAAGGTCCGGGTCAATGGCATCGCGCCCGGCGTCTTCCCAAGCGAAATGACGGCTGGAGAGAGCGACGAGAGACAGAAGAGCCAACTGCCCAAGGAGAAATACGAGGGGAAAATACCGGCTAATAGGCCTGGCAAAGATGAGGACATGGCGTCGACGGTTTTATTCATAGCTGCCAACCAGTACGTCAACGGGCACGTTGTTGTTGTTGACGGCGGGTACACGCTCTCGGCTGGCATGTAACCGTCCCAGTAGGGTAGGAAAAGCTGAAATGAAGTAACTGTTGGCGTCGCAAAATGATGGCTTTCGGGGGTAGCAGGGTGAGGGACGTTAAGTTCCAGCTGCCGTCCCTGGCTAGGACGCGTCTTGCCTCCATTTGACACTCCCAGAAGCATCCATTTGAAACTTGAAACCTGGACGGTGAGCCTGTTTTGTATAGTTGAATGGTATTGATCGAGCTTGCTGAAGGATGGCACCTATATTGGGAGGCCTTCGGTTGCGGGTTAATTGTGTGAAACTGCAGACGCCGAATCGCCCACCGTCTGACCTGAGCCTCACGTTTTGGGGAAGAAACCGTCCGTTTTCTGTGATATCATTCAGTCTCAGGACATGCTCCCAGTTGACTGCGGCGCGGCTTTACAGAGCACAGGCATCTGAGACTCGTCACTCCACCTATTGATCCCTTGTTGCCTGTTTCCCACCTGCAGTACGGGATGCAACTTAGCAGCGGCTCAGCGGTGTCCGTGTCCGGCGCAGCTTGGCGCTAATTTCATGACTTTTAGGCCCAGATGTCAACATGGTATAGTTTCCAAGGCCGCGTCAATGTCGATACAATGACGATGATGCACGGTCAAATGCCCCCCCCATGACCAGCTTAGAAGCGTACCTATTCCACTCGAGGTATGCCCCAGGAGAAGCACTACCATAAACCGAGAACAGTTTGTCCTCAGATCCCTTTGTGACAGTTCATCAACACGACGCAATTTTGATGGGCCGTCATCTCATGTCAGGATAAGCGCTTAGACTCAACACACCGCCGGTATGCACAAATAAAATATTGCCGCGGAGCTCGCCTGCTTCTACCATGCCGCAAACACCGGTCAAAGCCTTCCCAGAGTAGACGGGATCAAGTATCAGACCTTCAGTAGTCGCCGCCAGCTTGATGTACTTCCTAGTCCTGTCATCTAGCCGGCCATACGCATCGCCATGCCACCGCAAGTCAACTTCGAAGGCGTTCTCTGTGAAGCCAGGTTGGTCGAGCCCGATTTTCCGGCCAGTCGTTTCTGCAATTCCAGATACAAGTTTGACAAAGTCTTCCCTGGACTTTGGCCCTGCTGCCACGCCTATCAATCGTCGTCGGCGTGGTACTTTGCTCGCTTGCCTTTGAAGCTCGTCCACCAGCGCAAAGCCGGCAACCATACCAGCAAGCGTGCTCCCGGACATGACTGCAAGCACAATGGAGTCGAAGAAGACGCCCGTGGCCCGTTCCCTCTCGGCCAGCTCAAATGCCCATTTTGCGTAACCCAGCCCCCCCAGTGGATGTGTCGACGCGCCAGACGGGATCCAATATGCGCGTTTAGTATCCAGGAGCTCCTTGGCCGTTACCGCAGGATGTGCTTCGCGTGCCGCCGACATGAGCTCCGTAACTTGCACATTGCCCTGCTCGTTGTAGCTTCTACAAAGGTGAGAGTCCGAGCCATGGCTTCTCCCAGGGACGATATCGCTAATGACCAAGACGGATTTGAAGTCCAATTTCGCAGCAGCTGCTGCAACCTGACGAGCATGGTTGCTTTGGATCCCACCCTCGGTGACGAGATATTCAGGCCGGGGAGTCTTAGCTGCAGCATCGGCCAAGACTAGGACGGGTTTGTTAGTCCAAGGCACCGTAGGTAGGCATGCAGGCAGGCGAGTCTGGTAGCTTGCCTTGGCTTACCATATTCTAACTTGCGCAGCTTGTTTCCGCCGCCACCTCCTAGGCCACTGTTCATGTCCTCACGACATACAAACAAGCGTGCGGGAGCTTGACCGTGCTGGATGAGGTGCGAGGTCAAACGATCCAGAGGCTCAATGAGCAACGGTGTCGAGAAAGTAAGGGGCAGGCGCGGAATAGCAGCGAAGTCTTTGGGCAGGGTGGCCATGTTGCTGTCTCGACGCGCGTCTCGGACTTTGGACGGCGTCTTGTGATGGTTGCAATGGGCGGACTGATGAAGCGCACCTGGGATGTTGGGTGCTTGGGTCAGCCGGCGTGCTCTTATTAATTAATAATTTGACGTCTGGTCAACGGGTCCAGCTGGTTCGGCTGGCACGGTGCACTGGAAACGCCAGTGTACCTGATGTTCCCGGTGTACCTGGGTACCGTACCTGCCTGCACCTGCCAGGTACCGACCTATACCCGGGCACTCACTCCGTACCGAATGCTGCGCCACAGCCACACATAATCCGACGTCGAATCATTTCCCCACGCCAATCCGCGTTGCCTCGCGCCAACTCGTGCCGTTCTCTCCGTCAGAGGCGACCAATGTCCCATCAATTGATCGATGCCCTCCGGAGCTACCATTACTTGACACCGCATAATGCCCCTGATAGCAGGGAGGTTCAAAAAGGGGCTGTGCTGACATGGATTGAAGCCGCCGTACGCCGTTTTCTTCTTCGACCTCCTCTCTCGCTCCGGCCCCCGCCCCCCGAGCACCCGCCCACGACACCAAGGAGAAGGAGAGGAGCCTGCAAACACATTGCGAACCCCGACACTGGAACACGTCGCCATTCTCACCTCTCGTGCACCAAGTGCAGGCAATGGCTCATGGATGGTCTCCTGCCCTACTCTTCGCGCGAAGACATCGTCTCAAAGTCGGTACCGTAGCGATCCTGATATGCGTCGTCTACTTCTTCTACCTGGCTCCCATTGCCAAATCGTCAACGTCCATTCAGCCAAGCCGTGGTATTCCAACGCCCGACTTGCAGACCTTCAAATCCCATGCGATTAACAACACCGTGGTCATTGTCCCGGTGAACACGGGCATGCTCCACTTGGTGGAAAACTTGCTCTGCTCTCTGTCAGCAACCTCTTTCGATCCAAACTCCATCGTGTTCTGGGCCCTGGACGAAGGGGCGCAGGCCACGTTGCGTGGCAGGGGCTTTGCCACATATCGAGATGCGTCCCTGTGGGCCGAGAGCGGCAATCTCAACGCCCACGGCAACAGTCCAGCCTACCATCGCATGATGCGCCAACGCCCGCGGTTCTACATGGATTTTCTATCCACAGGTCATGATCTCCTCATGATCGACGCCGATCTAGTGTTTTGGCAGTCGCCCCTTGTCATCATGCCGCAGAACGACACTGACAGAGAGGCCGTCGACATGGTCTACAGCACCGATGCGAGAGAATTCTACACCAGCCATGATGCTTTCCACGACGAGTATCGCAGGGGCTCACTTGTGCCGCCAATCTGCAATGGGTTGTTCTGGATGAAGAGCAACAACGAGACTATTTCGCTGTGGTCGGAGATGCTACAGGTGTTTGAAGATTCATCGTGGATGACGAAGATCTATCGGGATCGAGTCTTCCAGGATGACCAGCGCGGCATGGATGTGCTGCTGAATGACGGGCGAGCAGGACTTGTCGGGCCACTGCCAAGCGGCATCACAGAAGACATGATGCCCGAAAGCAACCGCGAGAAGAGGAGACTAAACGTCAGATTACTTGACCAAACCCAAGTCGTCAATGGACAGTTGTTCATGTTCCGGGAAAACACTTACGCCGAGAGCTTAAAGCAACTCCGTGGCGAGGGAAAAGATCGCATTGCCGTGCACATGAACTGGAATACAGAGATCATCACGAAAGAAGAGGGAGCCAGAAAGAAGAAAATCTTCTTTATAGACGACAATGGTCGTTGTAAAGTAGAGACGTAGGGTTCATAAAGGCCAAGGTAAACCTTGTATCCAACAATGGAAAGAATACTCACGCCATCCCCATGGTGCAATCTTTATTGGACACCCGGCCCTCACCCGTCCAGCTGTACCAGTGACTGGCAAAAAGGCATTCAGTAGTCAAGATCTGTTTCGCTGCTCTGCATTCTGCTGATTTGGCCACCGACTCGAGCACCCGTCACATGGGCTCAGCTTGGTGAGGTGACTCAATTCAGCCATGGTATTCAATGACCGAAGAGCTCTATTTATACAGAGCAGCAGTGGACGTGCGACTGCAATATATCGGGCGTAATAGATCCGACTCCACGTTTGGCAATTGGTCCACGTCCAGGCAGATTTTGCTGCGATCAACGCTTCGCTGTCGTGACGACGGCTTGTCCGCGTCGCTAGCCAGTGACTAGGCTCGCGCTATGTCAAGCCGAATTGCGTGGAAACTTTGACCAGACAAGTTGGCGTGCTTCCAATGGAACCAAATGGGTTTTACCTCATTGACCAAAGTCAGATAGCCCTTGGGGACTGACGCGATTGCGAGTAAAGTTGCTAGCGCTTGGCCAAACAACCTGTTAAGCTTATTTGAGGCTAGGATCCACGACTCGACTGTTTCGAGTGCGTATTCGTAAATCAAATTGATAAACGTGCGTCGAGACGTATCCTAGAAGCTCTCTCTGTCTTCATGACCCAGAGGAATTCGACCGTCAGCATGCCCTTATCAAGTGTCAAGTGCCAACGCATGCTATGCCCAAGACACCTCATGCAAAGGTGTGTTCTCTTTCTTTTCCCTCTTTTCCAAGTCATCCGCGGATCCGTTTACATGATAGCGCTCTCTTGGAGCGTCATGGTGACGTTGCTGATACGGAAGTTGGCTCTCTAGCACTGCCTTGACGGGGTCCTATGACACTTATGTGTCCTTGCTTCTCCCAAGAGGAACGTTCGGACAATAAAGCCACGAAACCTCCTCAGAATACAGTCATGACCATCTCACCTTCTCCCCTCACCTCTGAACCGTCAGCTCAACACATCAAGTGCTGCCCTCTTCTCTCCCGTGCAGCCAACCGTCCTCTCACTACAGCGTCGGTGCCGCCATCCAGAGACAAACTACAAAACTGACCTTCCATGATGGGGGCCTATCCAAGTCCCATGGCAGTCCAGGACGGGATGACGCCTCGCCCACTCCCTCACTGGTATGCCACGATGAATGATGTGATTCCCATGCAGGGGTTCGCGCCGCACGTAGAGCACCCGGACACATACAAAGTCTTTGCGTCCGCAAAGGAAAACGACCCAGAAACCCTCCGAATGGCCATCAGCGGTGCCGACAGCTCGAACCCCAACATGACGCTAGAGCGCCACGGTTTCTGGGTGGCATCTATGCCGCGGGTACGTGATGAACAGGCCCAACGCCGTGTGCTGCGCGTGCAAGCTGATCTTTTCGATCCGGCAGGTCGTCTACATCCCTTCCGGGAACTACTCGTTCAGCGAGCCACTGGTCATGAACACGGATACCGTTCTCATCGGCGATGCCCATGACCCGCCCGTCATACAGGCGACTGGCGACTTCAGAGGAGACGCGCTTCTTGACGGTGACTGTGACCCCGAATGCCCCCGACCCTTCGTTCCAAGCGCCACGACACTGCTACAAGGGTGATGAGGAGCTGAGCAACCGTTTCCTTGTAGGCCTAGCTGCCAGCCACGAACCCAACGCCGGCGAGCTGGCGAACACAGTGGCCCTGAAGAATGTGATTCTCGACACGACCGCCGTGGAAGGATGTAAGCGGATAAACCCCCGTCAACGTGAAGAAAGCAAAGGGCAGCACCTGGACGGCGCGTGCTGACAAGCATCGCAGACCGAGAACTCGCCGCGCTGTACTGGGGAGTCGCCCAGGGGTCTCACCTGCAAAACGTCCAGATCAGAATGGCGCCGTCGCCCAACGGCACGGAGGGACACACGGGCATCAGGCTGGGCAGAGGCTCCATCCTCAGCCTGGGCGACGTCCGAGTCGAAAACGGCCTGGTAAGTCGAGTCTCTCTACCCGTGTAGGCCACGCACCAGACGCCGTGGACTCCCCGTGCTCGGGGGCAAGTGCTCACATACATACACGCCTCGGGCCCCAACAGAACGGGATCTGGCACGACGGTCACCAGAGCGCGCTCTACAAGAACATCACGTTCCACGGCAACTCGGTCGGCTTGCGTGTTTCCAACGGCAACGCCGTCACCCTCCTCGCCCCGACGTTCGAGTCCGTCGGCACCTGCATCAGCCAGACCGGCGGCAGCGCCTTTGTCGGCGTCGTCGACGGCGAGTCGGTCAACTCCGGCGTCGCGTTTCTCTCTCGGGCGGCCGACAGGGACAACGACACGGCCCGGCCCTCCCTCCTGCTGGACAACTTCCACCGCAGAAACGACGGGCAGCACGAGCCGTCGGACACGGTGCGAATCGGGGATCGTGCCGTCCTCGGCCCCGTCGAGCACGTCCGCAGCTTCTCCTACGGGAACACCGTGGGCCGCGAGCCCGTCTACGGCGCGACGGCAGACGAGACGGTCAGGCGGTCGCGGGCGGCTGCCCCCGGTGGCAGGATTCCCGTTTTCCCCCCCCCAAACTACGGCGAAGTCCCCATTTCCGAGCTCATAAACGTCAAAGAGCCCGATCAGAACGGCGGGCGCAACGTCCACGGCGACGGCAGGACGGACGACGTCGAAGCCCTCACCATGGTGCTCAGATACGCCGCCGAGCAAGGCAAGATTGCCTACTTCCCCTTTGGCGACTACCGCGTCTCGTCGACGCTCGTCATCCCCATCGGGTCCCGGATCTGCGGTGAGGCGTGGCCCGCCATCTCGGGATCCGGGGCCTCTTTCGCGGACGCCTCGCGCCCGACGCCCGTCGTGCAGGTCGGCCAGGCCGGCGACGTGGGCACGGCTCACATCCAGGACATGCGCTTCACCGTCGGCCAAGTGTCTCCGGGCGCCGTGATCCTGCGGTTCCACGCGCGCGGCGCCAAGCCCGGCGACGTCGGGATATGGAACTCGGTGGTCAACGTCGGCGGTCTCCGGGGCACGCCCGACCTCGTGCGGCGCTGCGCAGACGACGCGGACCGGTGTCGCGCGGCCTACCTGGGGATGCACTTTGCCAGGGGGTCGTCGGTGTATGCGGAGAACGTGTGGAACTGGGTGGCCGGCCGCAACGCCGAGAACTTCTTTGCCGGGCTGGCCATCGCCGCAAAGGGCGGCGTCCTGGTCGAGGCCACCGACGGCACCTGGCTTCACGGCCTGGGCTCCGAGCGCTGGTGGCTGTACCAGCTCAGTCTCCGGTCCGCCTCCAACGTGGTCGTGTCCATGCTCAGGACCGAGACCAGCTTCGGCCAGGGCAGCGCCGCGAGGCAGATGGCCCCCTCGCCGTGGACGCCCGACCCCGACGGCTGGGGGGACCCCGACTACTCGTGGTGCGACGGCTCCGACGGCGTCTGCCGCATGGCCGTCGGCAGCTACATCGACGGGGGGTCCGACATCAGCTACTACGGCGCTGCGTCGTGGGTCTTTTGCGCCGGCTCCGCTGGTGCGCCCTGCGAGCCGGGCTATCGGTGTCAGAGTAGGTGCTTGCTTTTCCTTCCCTTCCTTCAGCTCCCTCCGAATGCAACGCCCGAGCCGCGGCCACCACTAACAGAGAGAACTACCACCTCGCAGGGCATATGCACTACATTGCTCAAACTCCCAGGAATCTTCAGGCATACGGCTTGTGCTCCAAGGACACCACGTATGCTCTTCGCCTGGGCAACGGTATTGATCTCGAAGCCGAGGGCACATTTCAGGGAGCCGGTTGGCCGAATGGCTCCGACGTCTCCCGGTACACGACGTAGCTCAAAGGACTACTCTGGGAGGTATTTCTAAACTGCTCATGGCCACTTGCAAGTTGCAATAGAGCTGGGAGACAGTCGTGGTAGCCCGTCGACCATGATTGTTCTTGAAACCGTCTTTGTTATTCCCCGTCGTGTTACAGTCAAAGTACGTCATGTCCACAGGTCAGCTGTCCCCCCTCGAGGACACCAGCTATTCTGTTTCGTACCTGCAACGGCGTTGGTTGCGATTATATATTTCTTGGGGGTTTTTTTTTTTTTTTTTTTCCCGCCGTCTCGACTCTTGACCCCCGTTGGGCGGATACCGGAGTGACGGCCCGGCCCGGCGGACGGACCTGACTCGATGCCGAGTCATGCCGACAGATTGCGAGAGTCTGCAGGGCCTGTCTGTTCTCCGCAACTTTCCCGAAAAGGCAGGTATATGTGTAGCAAGGTCCTTTGTTGAAGCTTCGAGCTAGTATGTACATGAAAGTAGTTTAAAAATCTTGCTAGTTAACAGTGATTGATGGTTTTTTTTGCATTTTGGATTTTCCTTGTGTGTCTTCTTTTGGCTTCGTCGAGAAATCTAGAGAGCAAGCGGGTGTTGTAAAGAACTGGCAGTCAAGCACAGTAAACAAAGCCTCGACTACATGACTAGCTGTAGTGCAAAAGGTTTTGTAGGCCACTTATAGGCCCTTGACCCCTTAGTCGCTGGCCACCTAGATAATGTCACACACAGGCATCTTGCTGTAAAGTATGTCTCTGATCAGAACCAACGTCTTGTGTGAATCGAGTCGTTTGCTCCAAGGCCAGACCATCACCACTGTGATCCGGCCCTTGTTGTATTAAGCCGCCAGCCAAGAGTTCCAATAGCGTTTCTGCCGGCAGAATTTTACTACAAGAAGGACGCCTTTGCCAGTGCAGTACTAAACGGAAGCAACACTGCAGGCATCTGGATGATGATGCCGCGCAATGTGTATTATTGGCCGCTCAGCCCTTTTTTCTTGGGGCGTCAGATTCGTCCCATTGATTTTACAGGTCCCCTTCCAGGCTTGGTGTGTCTAGATCTAGTTCCTTGGATGCAGACACGCTGTCCTTGGGCACGCCGGCGCTGCAATTCACGGCCTTTCGACGACGATCAAAACGGAGCGAGGAGAATACAGGAGACAAACATAAAGACGGTCGCCAAAACTGGCGATTCTGTGTCGCCCCGTTTAGGTATAGCCCGTTTCAGAATGTGGGCCAGCCGAACTTTCTAGACGGCCTTCTCCCTCACGGCTCGTGTTTCTGGAGGCAAGTCTGGGATGACATGATGACGGCAGCCATCAGAAAATGCCAACTTTATCGGTCGCTCAGCTATCAATATATATATATACACTACAAGCCTCACTGATCCAGATCTCTTTCCAAACGCTTCACGCGGCACCCATTCTGTTTGACTTTTTCATTCGGCCGCTGAGGCTGTACATAAACATGAGACAAGCGTCCCCTGCTGTCTGTCATACGCATTCTCTAGAATATTCCGCCGCTGACTGCAGCGTTTACATTTGTACGTCAATGAATAATATCGCCTCCTCCTCGCGCAACTCGTACCTTGACGTCTGTCATCGCTCGTGCTCACCCGTGCAAATCTAGATGCTGCGACCCCAAGCCTCGACTACACGTCCTACGCCTATCCCGTCGTGAAATGTCGCTGGCCCAGCACGTAACTCAAGCCGACGGCTTCGAGTATGAATTCCCTCCCGCAGCCAATCAGCCCTCGAGCAACGCAGACCGAGAGACTTCATCGGTGGCTCGCGTCGTGACCCCCAGCAAACCTGAGTGGCAACGCATGAACTTTTCACCAACCGGTTCGGATTCTGAAGAAGCCCACATCGCCGCATACAAGGTTTCTGTTGCAAAGCGAATCGGTACAATTCCCCTGTAGTTTCCTGTCCAAAACTGGCCATGTCTAACCTTGCGACTCCTCAGTCCAGGTGGCGACCGCCATCGCAGCTTGCTGGCTGTCTGCCGGCATCGTGTTTGGCTTTGCTGCCCTGAAACCCGTCTTGGTTGCTGAAGGGGTGTACGGCGATTTGTGTGATGGCAACGACACCGCTCTTTGGCACAGCCCAAACGCCGCGGCTGCCGTGCCCTGCGACGAGCAGGATCTGCGGCTGAACCTCTTCTTCACTGTCGCATCCGTTGCCGCGAACGTGTCGTCGCTTCTAGCTGGCTATGCTCTCGACAAGTACGGCAGACGCACTTGCTGGATCGTCGCTTGCGTGCTTCTCCTCTCAGGCAGTCTCCTGATGGCGGCCTCGTTTGCCATTCCCAAGCTCGATGCCTATCTCGTGGCCAATGTGTTACTCTCACTCGGCGGCACTTTCATCTTCGTCCCCAGTTTCGAGCTGGCAAATGCTCTTCCAAAGTACTCGGGCATAGTTGTGGCCATGACCACGGGAGCATTCGACGCGTCGGCGGCCGTTTTCCTTCTCTTTGGCGCGGTCTACGAAGCAACAGGCGGCCGGATTTCCGTTGCAAGTTTCTTCTTCGGCTACGCCATGGTCCCCGTCCTCATCCTCGCCGCCGAGCTCGCCTACATGCCGCAGCAGTCCTACCACACCATTTCCGAACTCGAGCACAAGATTGAAAAAGCCCAAGACAGCAGCCGTGATGTCCACGAGTCGGACGACGACGTTCAAGACGCACAAGAATTAGCAAGAGTACAAGACGCTCGGGCGGCCCGCCGCATGGCCAAGCTGGACCGAATCGAATCCATTACCGGGGACTCGGAACATCGTGACCAGCGAAGGAGAATCAACAAGGCGCGGCAGACAGCCAGCGGCCGTGTGTGGGGTGTCATGCACGGCGTCCCAACTCGCAGGCAGTTGCTCAGTCCCTGGTTCATGCTCATCCTCCTGTTGACCAGCATCCAGATGCTGCGCATGAACTACTTCATCGCTACTATACGCTCTCAGTATCGATACATGCTGGGCTCGGACGAGCGCTCCGCAAGCGTGAACCGCTTTTTCGACATGGCCCTGCCGGTTGGAGGCGCCGTCACGACTCCCTTCATAGGCGTGCTGCTCAACAATCACGGCATATCCACGATCCTTTGCTTCTTGACGGCCTTGATCATCCTCATTGGCACGCTAAACTGTCTGCCGTACTTGTGGGCGGGCTACGCCACCGTTGTCGCCTTTATCGTCTTTCGACCATTGTACTATTCCGCCGTCTCGTAAGGAACCCGACGACGAGGGTGTGCACGTCACGTCGTTGCTGACATGTCCAGCAGGGACTACGCAACTAAGATATTTGGATTCACCACCTTTGGACGTATCTACGGCACGTTGATATGCGTTTCGGGAGTCGTCAATCTCGCGCAGTCAGGCCTCGACGCTCTTGTACACGGGGCCCTCGATGGAAACCCCACTCCCGTCAACGTCGCCTTTACTGTAGCAGGAGCGTGTACTGGTGCGGCCCTGACGATTTTCGCTACTGCCCAGGCTCGCTCGCTTTCAGGGAGGGATGGTACGACGCCGCCGCCCAGGCGTGGTGAACGCCGGCCACTGCTGTTGAGAGACTAGGGGGGATGCGGAGGATAGTGCGTACCGGATAAGGGTACGAAAAGGCTCAAGGCCTAGGAAGGCAGGTTTTTGAGGGAAATCGTCCCTTTCTTTGTGCCTGCCCTGTACAATAGGCTGTCGAACTTTTTCCACAATCTCTCTAGGAGGCTTACTTTGGTAGCTGGCATGTCTCCTTCTGGATCCGTAACTCGCCGGACCTTGTTCTGGGAGAAAACGTCATTGTTCAACATGGTGTGACTAGGAACAGAAGGCAGTATACGCCAGTCGTGGCCGAACTGCAAAGCAGCGCCCGGTCCCATATGTGGAACATGGGGTTGACTGAATGGGTCAACCAACGCTTCGGCGACTCCCAACGCATCTTCGGGAAGAGTGTTCTGACGTGCCGATACAGCTTCAAGAGTAAAGGGCGACAGCGGGTAACTCGTGTTTTTGAATTCGGGCGGAGACACTCGACGCAGGCTACAAGTAACATAAATCACGCGCCAATGGGCAATGTCGGAGCGAGCTGTCACACGGATGTTGGTGACACAGGGGCCATGTCCGAGACCCAGGGCAGGAGGCTGCTGCATAAACAGAGCCCGTGGCGACAAGGAGCCTTAATACCAAGGTGAGTTGTGTGCGAATCGAGCCAACGTTTTCCAAGCCGTCTTCTTGCACTGCGACGAGCCCTTGTCACAGCTCACATGCAACGTGAAAACCAAGCGAAGCGTGGTATCTTTTCGCCAGCCGTCACGGAGTTATTTGTTTTGCTCCCAAGTAAGTCAACGTGCAGCCGGCCGGTCTTGTATTCCCGATTTGACGGCCTCTTTTCCGCCGTTGGACGGACCGAGGCCCCACACCGGCGCCGCCGAAGTCGGCCCATCCCGGAGGTTGCACGGCGCACGGCGGAGCATGTGTACAACTCGACGTTGCCCAGACGGAAAGTCGGTCCTGGGACGACATTGCCTCGGAAGATAGGGAGACTGTGGGCCATTGCAGCGGCGATGGGCATCCAGCAGATCACCCCGGTCATAGAATACTCTTACCGGTGACTGACCATCTACGGTCACGAGCACCACAACTCGCCAGCGAAGCCTCGTCCCCAGGGCCGATTTTTACCTTGTTTTCGACACAGCCAATTGACAGCACTTGATGACGAGGACAACCAAGCCGTGGGCGGTGTAATCTGCCCGTCACCGTGACGACACATAGTAGCTGTAAGCCGCCGCTTATCGTGCCGTTACACGGAATTATCGGTCAAAGACCTCGACCACATGACCAGCTGCAATGCACAAGGGCTGTAGCTATCCCGATGTCCACATAGGTCACCACTGGGCTCGGGCACAAAGGCACCAAGGCACCAAGGCACGAGGCATCACCCCCCTCAGCTGCCTAGTCAGGTTGCACACACAGGCACCACCTTGTAGTTATATGTAGCCCTCGTTGGTCGGGTGCGCCAAACTGGGCAGCCAGGGACCTTTGAGACCATAAAATATCACATGTGAATATAAGTCATTTGCTCTGAGCCCTGATCTCTATGACCAGCCCTTGTTACAGCAATCAAGGGCAAACGGGAGGACGACAGTGCTTACTTTACAAACAACCAAGGAACACCTTTTCCAGGTCCGTAAGTAGAATGAAAACATGAGAGATACGAGGGGCCAAATACTGACGTCGGTTAGGGCACACAGCAAAACCGTGGGCGGTCTTGCACTGGCCAGCGATGTCTTTCTCTTCCAGTACGTATTTTGACACGGGATCCCGGCGCTTGCTGACTTTTTTGCCTTTTTCTTTCCCGGAAAGCAGCAGTATCTCAACAGATCAAAGCCTCTCGAGCATGATTATACGCTTCTGTAGTTGTCGGTCCTGCTTTGCGGCCAAGATCCCGACTACTCGAGGAGCTCCAATGGACCACGTACGTGCAAGTCATGGACCCGAACATGACGGACCCCGAGGCACTTGGATTCAACTTGCACCAAGTCCTCGTCAACTGCCCCTTCGCGGCCAAGTCATACGCGTCCCTCAACCTGGACGGGCAGATGAGTCGACGCCAACCACGCCGGGAACAGGTAGTGTGCGCCCAAAAGCTTCGCCCACAAGTTCCGCCCAGACGTGGCCGAGACTTAGTACGGGGTCCAGGACGTCATTTCTAGCAGAAAGGGCCATTTTTGGCACCAAGGGAAGAGGGACGGCCACGGCCAAGCCGCCGAGTTGGCGGGCAAGAGCCGTGACGGGCCGGCAGAGACAGCACGCCATGGCCAATACTGCAAAGTGGCTGAACCGGGTCACCTGCTCCGAGATTCAGGCAGAGTCCTCTGGATGCCCAGCAACAGCGTTGGTGCAAAATGCTTACGAGCCGCCGGGTCAAGCATCTCGCGCAGCTTCACAAATATCTCCCGACCAGGCGCAAGGAGTGTATGACGGGCTGGCCGATCCAGACTTTACCATCCCAGATGTGAGGGAACTCGCAGAGGGTGCGCACGAACGGTACAGGGAGGGCAAATATCGTCCCGCGACAGGGGGCATACCTCCTGGCGTCCCGCCGTCTCGGCACGTTTGTAATCGAGAAACGCTTTGTTGCTACGCAAGACCCCAGGTGTGCGCGGAACGTCATACACGGAATTCTCAGAGTAGCGGTATTGCATCTCTGGATGTAGTCACTCCAACGTACAGGCAACTTGTCCGAGTGAATAACTGGACAACCCAAAAGGGAGCAAATCTACACATATGAAATTTAAGCAAGTTCCCCTGGATGCCGTAAAGCTGCTTCAGCATATTTGGGACAGCCACAATGTCGAAATAGTAGGTGGGCTGTATTGTAGTGTTCCCGTACAACCGCGGGCTTGTCTTGGTAAAAAAGCCCATCTCGCGTTCCGATATTGCTCGGGGTCGGACTACGGACTACCGCTCGCTTTTTGCTCGACATGGCTTGGATAACAACTGGACGCTCCTCTCCACATCCTCGGCACGGGTCCGAATCCGACGCTTGCGAGGATCCTTTCCGCTCATGTCCCGGTCCTTATTGACGTACACAAATGTCCCGCTCCCAAACGCGTCTCGACTCTCTACAAGTTGCTCTGTCGCTTCCTGCATAGCCGCCGCCACGCAAGGAGGAAGGTCTGTGCAGCCCTTGATCCCCATACTTCCGGCACAAAAGACGCTCGTCTGAGCCATGTTTTGCGGCGGGTGTCGTGGCGTGGCCATTGGCCCACCCTGGTTTCTTTGTTTCGTGGATGGTCTCGCCAGACGTGGATGGATGCCAAACATGCATGGCCTCTGGGCTACGCCATTTCCCACGTGGCAGCGCTTCCAAGTATAATCGGGATTGTAGATGGACAGCCTGACCCTGGCCGTCGCTGCTGCCACCGACGCCGGGCACGTCAAGCCTTGTCTGAGTCTCTGAGATGACACAGCCGAGATGTCGTGAGCTAAGGGGTAGCCGAAGCTGAAACTCCCAGTCCGCGAGCGTATGTCTACGGACAACCTCCAACATGTCAGGTCTACGCGGACGACTCTACTCGTCGCCGCCGGGCTGATCGCCCTACGGAGTTGGCGGCTTCGCCCGCCGCAGGAATGTCGTGCCAACATGGGCCATCTGCACCCTACTCACACAAGGAAGCAACTTTTATCAATGGCAGTACTCTGGCACCGTTCCAAGCCAAGTTTCTCGTATTATCGTCTCCACATTCTCCACTAGGCGAAAATTATCTAGCTCATCATTCAGACCCAACTCTGCGTTCAAACACAAACTTATAATGGAACGCTTCGGTAGACACGGTATTAAAAGCCGGTATCTGCAGCAGACTGTCCACGACTTTTCGGTACGCTGATATCATGTCCGACCCCTGAGAGTGCTCCATTGCGTCCAGAACCTTGAAAGTCACGCTCTGAGCCCTCGAGCTCCATCTGACGTCCCGTACGTAGGAACATCCTGCGCCGCGGATAGCGTCTATCAATATGTTCTCAATATCATTCATGCGGTCCTCCGCGGTCGTGACGGTGATGTGGAAGTCGACAGGATACGAAGACTTGGTATCGATGGGGCCGCTCATTGTCGCTCTGTGTTGACCTGTGAACCCGGCGTCGGCGTTTAGCACTCGACCTGGTATGAATTATCACGCGGATTCAAAGACGAAACAGGGCTGGCGGCACGACTTGTCCTTGCCGCATGTTCTCCCGTCTTCGCATTGCACTTACCGAGACGTGCGTACTTGGTTGTTGCGGTGTACTTGGTTGTTGCGGTGTACTTGGTTGTTCTGGTATGTTTGCAGTCGTAGCGAGTGGCAAGTATCGGTTGAAATGTCCTTGTGAGAGAGGATGTTGACCGATGTGGAATACTTTCCGTGGCCATCTCCAGGAAGATACGCCTCCTTAAATAGATGGCCGAGGGAGTCTCCTCGCCGTGAACAGAGCTCGACTCTGCGGCGCCGCAGCAGACATACTCTAGTCAGGGACTTGAAGAGCTCCCTTGGTACAGGACTGAAAACGAGTGGAAAACAGACGAAAATTCCAGAGAGACGCAGCATAATGAGCCGTTTCATGCACGGTTTACTGGGTCATACTCGAACCACCGCCATGCCGTGCCACAAAGGGCCGTGACTGGGAGATACTTGCACAAAGGCTTTGAAACGCCCCGGGAGTTGCCGGCTAAGGATTTGTCCAAAAGGTACACCGACGAGATTACCATGCCAGGGCCTGCATCCTCGATGCCTGGGACCATGGGGGAACGGCAAGAGTGTGGCGCATTTGCTTGGCGAGTTTTGACGTTGAGCAGGAAAGCAATAGGTTTCTTCATGACGTTGACAACACAGACTCTGCTCGACCGAGTATTTTCCAACGACTCAGACAGCCATCGTGGCCGCGGTGACATGAGTCACGTCTGTCCATGGTCCTTGAGACGACGGCTCAGCGGACAGCCCTTGGAGTCGACCAGCACCACGCAACAAACACAACGTGGCCATGTTTCTTCCCGACGGGCCTTTTGGTCCTTTTGGTCCTTTCTCCTCATTCTAGGGCCCCCACGGAAACGGCGCGCGTGGGCTTCCCCGCGAAAACGACGCACACCATCGTGGACCCTGCGTCGGCCGGTCATTGAGGCTGTGTACGCAGGCGCGTGCCCAAGGCCAAGGTATTTCACGGTTCATAGACCGGCAAAAAGAACCGGCTGTTGACCTGTGAGGCAGCCAAAGGCCGGGGATGGAGGGCCAAGAACAAAGTCGGCTGGCTTGGCCGGGCGGCCGTCGACTCGCCAAGGAGCGGTCATCATGCCAACGTGCCCAGAGGCGCATGGGACAACTCGCATGCGCCAGACACTTGGGTTTTTGACTCTGTACCTACTTGATGAGTACTGCGGTTCATGATGTGTCACATATCGTATTGCGCCTGAGCCGACTCCCTGGGGTCGGCCCAAGGTGGCCGGGGCTTTGCAACGACGCCGCCAAACAAGCTTAAATCCCCTGGGCGGCCATCTTTGTTCGTCGGGAAAGCGGACAGAGTGCAAGACGGGTGCTGCTGGTCCAGATCTTGCCCTGGCTCGTGCGCCGCCGGAACGCAGGAAGAGGAGGCGGCGAGCGAGGCGCAGCCTTCCGCAAGTTGGCTTCCACGACGACGACGACGACGACGGCGGCGGCGACGACGCCTCTTACACACGCGCGCGCGCGGTCATCATGGTTTCGGTAGCCTTGCCTCGCCTCCCGCCCCGGCCGCATGGCTTCGCCCTCTAGTTATATTTGACGCAGACCCTCCCCGAAACTCTTGGTGCGCCGCGCTTGCCATGTCATCCGCCATCCGTCGTCCCGTGTCGGTCTTGTATATCAAGCGGCGCACGCGGCCGTGCCACAGCAACGACGTCGATATTCGTCTCTGCAACTATTCCGCACCCCTACCCGTGCCCGTGCCCGTGCCCTGGCCATGGCCAGCCTCAGCCAAAACTCGTCTCCTCCGCCTCTGCTGCAGGTCGACACCCGAGCTCGCACGCTCAGCTCCGCAGATACTATCGCGTCGGCGTCGTCGAATCCCTTCCTCACACCCACCATCGCCACGAGCCGGACGGCTAGTATCAGCGACGACGAGCTGTCCGCATCTCTGCGCCCGGATCCCGGCACCGAAGACGACTTCCGCGTGCAAAACAACCCGTTTGCCTTTTCGCCGGGCCAGCTGAACAAGCTCCTGGATCCAAAGTCCCTGGCCGCCTTCCGAGCCCTCGGTGGTCTGCGCGGCATCGCCAAGGGCTTGCAGACAGACACGGCCAGCGGTCTCAATGTCGACGAGACCTCGGTGCCCTACGCCATCTCCTTTGACGAGGCCGTCCGTCCATCGGCGCTCGGCGGCGTCTGCGGCGGCAAGTCAGCTCCCAACCCGAGCCACGCGTCCGAGTCCTTCGCAGACCGCATACGCGTCTTCAAACGCAATGTCCTGCCGCCAAGGAAGCCCACGCCCCTGTGGAGGCTCATGTGGAACGCGTACAACGACAAGGTCCTCATCGTGCTGACCGTGGCCGCCGTCATCTCCCTCGCGCTGGGCTTGTACGAAACATTCGGCATGTCCAAGCCCGAGGGCCCCGGTGCTCCGCCGCCGGTAAATTGGGTGGAAGGCGTGGCCATTTGCGTTGCCGTCGTCGTCGTCACGGCCGTTGCGTCTCTGAATGACTGGCAGAAGGAAAAGGCGTTTGTCAAGCTGAATATCAAGAAGGAAGACCGCGACATCAAGGTCGTCCGCTCGGGAACATCGTTCATGATCAACGTCCACGACATTCTCGTCGGGGACGTGCTGCACCTGGAGCCGGGAGACTTGGTTCCCGTCGACGGCATCTTCATCGACGGGCACGGCGTCAAGTGCGATGAGTCCTCTGCGACTGGAGAATCTGACGCCTTGAAGAAGACGGGCGGCGACCACGTCATGAGGGCCTTGGAAGCCGGCCTCGACCCGAGGAAGTTGGATCCCTTTATCGTCTCTGGCGCAAAGGTCCTTGAAGGTGAGCGAGTCTAACAAAAAAAACATAACAAATGACAAACACCCGCCCTCACGCACAGAGAGAAGACCCCTGACAACCTCCAGGCATGGGCACCTTCGTGTGTACTTCTGTGGGCGTCAACTCCTCCTACGGAAAGATCATGATGTCGGTCCGCACCGAGGCCGAGGACACGCCCCTTCAGAAGAAGCTCCAAGGCCTCGCCCTGGCCATTGCCAAGCTCGGCACCGCCGCCGCCGCCCTTCTCTTCTGCATCCTGCTCGTCCGCTTCCTCGTCGGCCTTCCCCACGACGGCCGAACCTCTGCCGCAAAGGCCTCTGCGTTCATGGACATCCTCGTGGGCGCCATCACCATCATTGTGGTGGCCGTGCCCGAGGGCCTGCCTCTGGCCGTGACACTGGCGCTTGCGTTTGCGACGACGAGACTTCTCAGGGAGAACAACCTGGTGCGCATGCTGCGTGCGTGCGAGACCATGGGCAACGCCACGACGATTTGTTCTGACAAGACGGGGACTTTGGTACTTGAACCCTCGCCCTCGCCCTCGCCCTCGCCCTCGCCCTCACTCGGGGTTGGGCTTCCAGCCGCCGTCCATTTCAAGATGTCTAATCGTGTCTGTGTGTTGTAGACGACCAACAAGATGGCCGTCGTGGCCGGTACTTTCGGCACGAGCAGCGTCTCCAGATTCGAGGCGGAATCCATCTCCCAATGGGCTTCTCGGCTTCCCTCCGACACCAAGTCGTTGCTCACGCAGTCGGTTGCCGTCAACTCGACTGCCTTTGAGTGCCAGGAAGACGGCATGCCCGCCTTCATCGGGCCCAAGACCGAGACCGCTCTCCTCCAGCTCGCCAGGGACCATCTCGGTCTGCAGTGCCTCGCCGAGACGCGCGCCAACGAGTCCGTCGTGCACATGTACCCCTTTGACTCTGGCAAGAAGTGCATGGGCTCCGTGATTCGTCTCCAGGACGGTTCCGGATATCGCCTCCTGGTGAAGGGCGCCTCGGAGATCCTGCTCGGATACTGCTCTGCCATTGCCGACGCGCAATCCCTCGCGGAGGACGACCTCACGCCCGCCAGACGACGCCAACTCCTGTCCACGATTGAGGAGTACGCAGGCAGATCCCTCCGGACCATCGGCCTCGTCTACAAGGACTACGAATCGTGGCCCCCCACACACGCCGAGGTGGCAGACGGCCAGGCACAATTCGCCTCCCTCCTCCGAGATCTCGTCCTCCTCGGCGTCGTCGGGATCCAGGACCCCGTCCGTCCGGGCGTGCCCGAGGCCGTGCGCAAAGCCCAGCACGCAGGCGTCGCGGTGCGCATGGTGACGGGCGACAACGTCGTCACGGCGAGGGCCATTGCCGCCGAGTGTGGCATCTACGCCGAGGGCGGCCTCGTCATGGAGGGCCCCGACTTTCGAAGGCTCAGCGACGCCGACATGAGGGCCGTGCTGCCCAGGCTGCAGGTCCTCGCGCGGTCGTCGCCCGAAGACAAGCGCATCCTCGTCACCAAGCTCAAGGAGCTCGGCGAGACGGTGGCCGTGACGGGCGATGGGACCAACGACGCGCCGGCCCTCAAGGCAGCCGACGTGGGCTTCTCCATGGGCATCTCGGGCACCGAGGTTGCCAAGGAGGCGTCGGCCATTGTCCTCATGGACGACAACTTTGCCTCCATTGTCACGGCCCTCAAATGGGGACGGGCCGTCAACGACGCCGTCCAGAAGTTCCTCCAGGTACGCCCTCGCCGTGCCCTCGCCGTGCCCTCGTCCCCTCGTCCCCTCGTCCCCTCGTCCCCTTTGTCGCCTCGCGTCGTGTCGTGTCGTGTCGTGTCGTGAGCATGCTGACGTGCTCCCTCCGTCGACCGGCAGTTCCAAATCACCGTCAACATCACGGCCGTCCTCCTCGCCTTCACCACCGCCGTCTACGACCCGGACATGAAGCCCGTCCTCAAAGCCGTCCAACTGCTCTGGGTCAACCTCATCATGGACACGTTCGCCGCCCTGGCCCTGGCCACGGATCCCCCGACCGACAAGATCCTCAACCGCCCGCCCCAGGGCAAAAAGGCCCCTCTCATCACCACAAATGTAGGGTCCCGTCCCGTCCCGTCCCGTCGACCATCCCTCGGCTCGTGAGGAATCTAACAAGATGCTTCTTCCCCCGCAGATGTGGAAAATGATCATCGGCCAGTCCGTGTTCCAGCTCACCGCCACCTTCACGCTCTACTTCGCCGGCGGCACCATCCTCAGGTACAACCTCGACGACCCCCGAATGCGGCTCCAGCTCGACACCCTCATCTTCAACACGTTTGTGTGGATGCAAATCTTCAACGAGTTCAACAACCGCCGCCTCGACAACAGATTCAACATCCTCGAGGGCATCCACCGCAACCGCTTCTTCATCGCCATCAACCTGCTCATGGTCGGCCTGCAGGTGGCCATTATCTTTGTCGGCGGCGCCCCCTTCGCCATCAGCCCCGGCGGCCTGAGCCGCGAGCAGTGGGCCATTTCCCTCGTCGTGGCGTCGGCCTGCCTCCCGTGGGCTGTCGCCGTGCGCTTGTTCCCGGACGAGTTGTTTGGCGCGGGCGCCCGCGTCGTCGGGGGCCCCTTTGTCGCCGTGGCGGCGGGCCTGGGCCGGCTGCGCACCGCGTTGGCGAGGACGAGGACGAGGTCCAGGTCGAGGTCCAGGTCGGGGGGCAGCGAGGAGCATCGCGCGCTGGGCGGCGCCGCGCGGCCGCCTGCTATCGAGGTGACTGGTGTCGTGGAGAAGGGTCAGGGTCACTCGCCGTCGTGAATTTTTCTTTTTTCCCCTTCCTCTCCTTCTTCTCTTTGGCGTCGTCGTCGTTGCGTGGCCATGGACGTGGCTGTGGTGGTTCCCTGTTGCAATACGGAGTAGACGTTACGAATTATACTTTATTCTTGTGCAGACGACGTATCTGCCCGCCGTGCCATTCCTTATCCACCACTGGGTGAATCGCCCATCGTGCTGGGTGTCAATCAAACATGTCACGGAAGCAATGAGACGGAGAACTTAGCACTGCAAAAAAAAAGCCATTGTTCTTTTTTTTTTAAATTTGGACTCCTCAGTCCACTCTGGTTGTGCCATCTATTCTCACGAGGCACAGCGCAATCGAAGACAATGTGACCTGGGCGTCCTCTTGACCCAGAGTCGATATCCCCATTTCCCCTGTGCAGGCAGACGGTCGTCGGGAAAAAAAAGAACCAGAGAGCCCGTTGTTGATGCGTGCCGTGCCCCCAACCATTCCATGTGACCCATGCGTAGTCGAGTGCGGCCTTCGTCCACGCTCTCCGATTATAAAACAGATGGAGAGAAGACTGGCCCGAACAGCCGCTCCTCCCTCCACATCCATGTCCCTTGCTCTCGTCTCTTCCCTTCCACGTCTCTCTTCTCTCGCTGCGAGGCGAGACCAAACTGGAGCAATTCCGACCAGAGAACCGAGTAAATCCACTTTTGTCTATGTCTGTACGGCGATACCATGACCCTCTATCATGAAAGCGAAAAATATGCCCCTGAGGGAGAAAACAACGCCCTCACTAGGCGATAGAAACATGCAGAATCGTGATGCTCATGACCGGACCTGCTTTTCTCTTTTCCAGATCCATTATATATCACCACGTTTCCGCCAGTGCCTTCAGTTCCCCCATCTCTCGGTCTAAGGGGTATCAAGTGAGGAGGGTGTCGAAATCAAAACAAATGCAATCTATCAGATGCTTCGTAAATGCCCCGTGACCGTATACTGCCATAAAGCCGGTGAACCTAATAGGCACTCATCCGTCTTCGCAGGTCATGATGCCGCCGTGCCGTCCAACAAAGAAATCACTGAAAAAAATAGCGCGTAAAGTGAGAAAACAATAGCAACAAGTACAAAGAAATGCATGAATCAGCGACAAAAAATGCAAAAAAACTTCAAACCTTGGTGCGCGCAAAATGCGCAGTCTTGTGTGCTGCACCTGCACCTTGGCCGGGCCCCGACGTCGGTCGAGAAGAGTGGCGGCACGTCGTAAATCTACCACCAGGACTGAGCACCAGGGCCGCCAGGGTTGCCGTAGCTGCCGCCGCCGCCACCGCTGCCGCCGCCGCCGCCGCCGCCTCCATAGCCGCCCTGGGGACCGCCGTAGCCGCCGCCGTAGCTCGAGTTTTGCTGGGGACCACCGAAACCACCACCGCTGTTGCCGCCAAAGCCGCCGCCGCCACCACCTCCGCCAAACTTGCGGAAATCGCGATTAGCAGTGCCACGCCCGCCGCCGCCGCCGCCGCCGCCACGAGATCGGCCGCCTCGGCCGCCTCCCCCAAAGGATGATTCACGGGCAATGGCCTCCAAAAAGCCAGGTACTTCTTGGTTGGCTTCCTTGAGAAGCTCCATAAGCTCACGGACAATGCCACGATTACCACGATTGAAGAAAGCAGTGGCAATACCAGTGTTTCCAGCACGGCCTGTACGACCGATTCTGTGGACGTAGTCATCAACATCGGTAGGCAGGTCGTAGTTGATGACGTGGGTGACATTGGGGATATCAAGACCACGAGCGGCAACAGCAGTTGCGACCAAAATGGGGCACCGGCCATTGCGGAAGAACTCGAGTGCGCGCTCACGCTCACGCTGTGTACGGTCACCGTGAATAGACGTGGCTGGGAAGTTCTGGTTGATGAGGAAGTCGGAGAGGGAGTCGGCCATGCGCTTGGTCTCGACGAAAATAAGAGTCAGGCCACCGGCGTGGGAGTGAAGAATGTCGAGGAGGACAGATCGCTTGTCAATATCCTCAACAAATTCGACCTTCTGAGTGATGTTCTCGGAGGTGGAGCCGACACGGCCGACAGACAAGAAGACATAGTCCTTGAGGAAATCTCTGGCAAGCATCTGAATGTCACGAGGAAAGGTGGCTGAAAACATGAGAGTTTGACGGTCGGCCACAGGAGGCATGTCCTCCCCCTCGACAATGCGGCGGATCTGGGGCTCAAAACCCATGTCAAGCATGCGATCAGCCTCATCCAGAACAAGATACTTAATGTTGCAAAGGGAGATGCGACCACGTTCAATAAGATCGACCAGACGACCAGGAGTGGCAACCAAGAGATCACAGCCTCGCTCAATTTGGCGGAGCTGGGAGCCAATGTCGGCTCCGCCATAGACAACGCAGGGGCGGACCCAAGATCGGTAGGCGAATTTGCGGGATTCGTCGTAGATTTGAGAAACCAGCTCACGGGTGGGAGCGAGGATGAGTGAGGTAGGGTAAGCCTTGCGCTGACGACCAAACTGGCCAGCAGCGCTAGCTGGCGTGGGCGAAGGACCATTGATGAACGCCTGTGAAAGGATGGGGAAAAGGAAGCCACCGGTCTTGCCAGAACCAGTCTGGGCACAAGCCATGAGATCGCGTCCACCCATGACAATGGGGATAGAGTACTTCTGAACGGGGGTGGGAACCTTGTAGTGAGCCAGCTCAATGTTGCGGCAGAGGTGTTCGTCCAGAGGAGGCGTGGAGAACTGGAGCACGGCCTCAGGGACGTCATGACCAGACGCCTCAACGGGGATATCGTCATACTTTTCAAAGTTGATACCGGTGTGTTGTTTGGAAGGATCGTCGATAGTACCGAAGAGCTCACGCTCCAGACGGGGGTTAGCCGGACCGGGAATGTGCTTTCCATCGCGCCACTGGCCATCGCCAGAGCCTCGGGCAGCGTAGCCGCCGCCGCCAGAGTGACCTTCGTGGCCACCAGCGTAACCGCCGCCACGGCCACTCCATCCGCCGCGGCGGTTGTTCTGGAAAGCAGGAGGAGCACCGCCGTCAGGTCCATTATTCCAGTTGTTCTGGCGACCAGCGTAGTTGCTGTTGTTACTATTAATTTAGTGTCAGCTACTGCGCCATTTCAAACTAGACAAAACAAACAGTGTCAGCACGACTTACCCAGCCCAAGAGCTATTGCTGAGACCATTGGGTGCGCCATTGGGAGCACCACCATTCATAGGAGCAGCGGAAGGGGGGGCAGAGGGTCGATTTCGCATGTGGGGTGGTATGTACGAGCGCTGAGGCTGCTGGCCATCGCCAAGGCTCAAGCCGCCCATGTTGAGTTGTTCCGCCATATTGGAAGTGAAGTGCGAGGTCTTGTTGTATCGGGTACTTCGACTGGCAGCGTGGACTTCGTTGGGAGGTGCTTTTCGGATCTAAAAAAGACGCGAAAAACAAGATGATGAATCAATCGTTGTGGAAAATCACCCTCGCAAAAGAAAACGAAAGAGTGAAATCAGAACTGTTGTCTGCCGAGTCGTGCTATAAACGATGTGACAGAGGAGAAAGAAAGGGAGGGCGCTGTGCTCTCGAGTTTCTTCCCCAGATATATTATACAGAAAAACAGCGGGTGCTTGCACGATCCCTCGAAGAAGCAAACAGAATCTTCAAAGGAAAGACAGACGGTCTCGGGAATGACCTTGGATGATGAGAGAGGATGAAGGGAGGGGGGGATGAAGGGTTTTCTTGTAAAGAGGTTGAGTTTGTGGGAGGAAAAGAAGAGGGACGAGCGAAGCCTTTGGAGGCGAAAAAGGGAAAGAGAAAATTTGGTTCGCGGGTGGCCGTAAAGAGGCTAGTGCCTAATCGAGGAGGGTCAAATTTTTTTTTTACTCGGCCTCTTTTGCTGACACACCGACTGGGCCACTTATAACAAAACGCACCTGCGCACTCCGGGGCTCCAGATCAACCGGTGGCAACCACTAACAGCGCGTTGCGGCAGCCCCAGGCCCGGAAACTGGCCAACGAGACACTTGCCTTGATCCGTTGAACGGAGCATCAAACGGGCTGTGCCAGTACTTCCGTCTTCCGAAGAACCGCGGCACTTGGGCGGAAGCCAGCACTGGGCATCGATCGAACAGCATGAGGCTATTGTAATCCTCATTTTTATATCTTCCGCCGCCTTGGGTCTCGCTGGCGGACAACTGGACAGGCCGTCGTCACCGCCCACTTTTACTACGGACGGACGGCTTCCAACTTCCCAGGTTCGCAAGGCAACCCCGACCTACGGTGTACCGCTGCCTTAGCTGTCTAGCGTACCCCACATGTACAGGACGGCCAGTCCGTAACAGTCCGTCGGCAAGAAGCCAGGGTCGCGAGTCAGGCGGCATACCTCAGAGGTACCTCTTTCCACCACACAGTCTATATGTATCCCCGTAACGTCATCCAACAGGTAGGTAACGTCCCGCCCCACAAGATCGCCAGCCCCCTACTTTCGATAGAGTTTTACACTATAAATACTACTTTTTTAAAAATTAATAATAAAAGAAAATAAATACTAAAAAATATTATAAAATAAAAGAAAATCTTAAAATTACTTATATTTATATATTTTAAGTAAAATTTATAATATATTAGCTTTATAAAATTACTGGCTCTATATTTACTTTTTATATTAAACTTAAAAAACTTTTTAATTAATAAAAAAAACTTTATTTACTATTATTTTTACTTTTTAAGCTAGCTTTAGCTTTATATTAGCTAAAGTAAGCTTTATATAATAATATTAGTTATTTAAATATAAATATATAAAAAGAATATTTTTAGAAATTTTTTAATAGCTTAAAATAAATATTTATATTTTTTATTTATATTTTTTTAAAAGCTTTTAATAAAACTTATAATATAGCCTTCTCCCCCCCCCCAAGCCTAACAACCGACTCTAAGTTGACCGGCGACTCTCCCTCCCCTGAGCCTGCTTCCGCGCTCTGGAGTTGCTGCTACGCCTGCCTGCAGCCGCCCTAGAGCTACCTGCATGCTGCTCCTTGTTGAGCTCTGCTATAAAACTGCGCCTATCTAGAGCTGCAAGCAAAGCCTCTATCTTAGCTATATAGCTAGTATACTTGTTTAGAATCTAGACTAACTCTGCTATAAATACAGCTGTAGCAGCAACTAATACTGTAATCTCTTCTAACTAACTTAGAATCTCTTGATAGTAGTCTGTATTATTATTTAATTCTCTAGCTAGTATTAAGCTAGACTAAGCCTGCTTCTAATTATTAGCCTTCTCTAAGGCCTTAAGATTCTTAAAAAATTAAGGAGTAAACTAAGATAGAGAGTTAGCAATACTAAGCTAGAGATAGAGCAGACTACTTATAGTAATATAGAAAGGCGTCTTCTTAGCTATAGCCTCTAGCTTCTTTTAGAGGTATAGAAAAATAAAATATATCTTTAATATTATATTATACTATAGCTTAGTTAAAGCTAGAGAAGAGGTAGAGACAGAATAACTTATAGAAACGCAATAATTATTATAAATATAATAGTTAAAGTATAATATAGTCTTTAACTTAATAATCTCCTAGTATAAATAGGCCTAGAGCCTGTCTAGCTTTAAGCTAGTAGTAGTAGCAGTAGAGATTTAAGCAATATAAAAGATATATATAACTCTATAG